CAGGGCCTGGTCCCCAGCTACACGGCGCCAACTTGAGGCCCCAGACCCAAAGCGGAGGATCAGAGTCTCAGCAGATAGTTCCGGGCGGAAAGATGTTTTCTCAAGTCTGGGGTCTGGGCTTGCATTCCCAGCCACTCATCCCCTGGGACCTCAGCAAAGTCCCATCTCAGACTTCCCCTGTTGAGTGGGGTTAATACAGGTCCAAAATTTCTTCTCTGATACCCTGGGTGTGGAAGTATTTTGGAAATTAGTAATCTTTGTATTTTAGTGCCATATAGGATGCATAATGAGCAACAACGCATAACAAACATTAATATTTCCCAAGCAAAATCTATGAATATTCACACTACAGGGGCACAGAGGATAAACTGCCAGGTTTTGCCGCCAAAATAGTTAAGAAAAATGTTTTCTTTGGGGGGCTTTTGGGATTTTGGAATTGCAAATAAGGGATAATAAGGGTTTTAAGTAACCAGAAGATTAGAAATGATACAGATAATGCTCCAAGCTGGTCCCTGGCATGGTGGGTGCTCCATAAATGGTAGCATTGATAGTAGTGCTAGTAACAGTTGTTATTGGTGCGCTCACTGCCGTCACTGCCTCCTTTAGGCCTGGCCAGCATGACCCTCTGGCAGCAGGACTCGAGGAGCCCTGAGCTTGGATGGCGGATGGGTATAGTGGGCCCCTTGGGGTATAGGACAATCCTGTCTTCCCAGAAAGTGTTCTCTGGGTGGGGGCAGGAGGCTGAGAAGCAGGAGGGAGGGTCAGTCCAGCCTCTTTCCCTTGGAAAGTGTTGCCTTCTTGGCTGGCCTCTGAGTTGGGGACAGTTCTCTTCAAGTTTCCCTTTTGTGGACCCTGCTGAGGCCTCCCAGGGTGTGGGGGAGGGGCATCAAGTTTTGCCACTACTTCCCTGTGCTCTTGCAGGCTCCTCCTGGCTGGAAGGAGAGGAGTCTGGAGGGTGTGGGGGAACAGCCTGAGAGGCCTTGAGGCCCCTCCCTGACTGCTAACTCCTGGGACCTGAGGAGCCTTGTTGCTCCCCGTTCTTCCTGGGCTTTGCAGCACTTAGAGAAAAGCCAGCCGCTGCTTTTCCCACCCACCTGGCCCAGTCTGTGAATCGGGGAAGTGCCTGTTCCTGCTCACAGGGAGGAGCTGGCATGGGCATTTTGGGCAGGGTATGGGCAGAACTGTCAGTCACTCTGGAGAGCCTGTAAGCAGGTGGGGAGTGTCGTGGTCCTGTTCCCGGGCGGCTGTCCTCCCCTCGGATTCCCTGTCCCTCCTCCTCTCACAAGGGAGGAGTTGGGAGCTGAGACATGCCCTGACCTGGAGTTTAGCCACCTGTCACCTGGGCCTGGGACAGGGTCCAGAGGGCAAGTGGGATAATAGGGCCATTTGGTGCTCAAGATAGGCAGGTGGGAAGAAATAACCCCAGAACTCCCAGGCAACTGTTCTTTTTTTCTAATCTGATAGTTTAAAAACTCAGATTGCCGCGGGGCTTGCTCCCTGACCTTGCTCCCCTTCCCTGGTGGGTCCCAGTGGCTTCCTGGGCTGGGAGCTCTGCATGCTGCGGCCTCGCCGTTTCTGGGCTGGGACTAATAGTGGTTTAACCTTTAGGCAGGAGCTGCCAAGGTCCAGCTGACCCCCGTGGAAGAGGCCCACCAGCGGCTGGAGAGGATCTTCACAGCTTCTGTAATGCCCCTCTTGTGTGTGGGTCCCAGTCCCTGGCCACCCTCTTCCTGAGGCTGGCGGCAGGACCCTGTGTGTGTCTGTGGGCGCGCTGACCATGAAGGTGGCTCCGTGGCAGCCTGTGGGCCCTCATGTCGGGCTCTCGAAGAAATGAGAGAAGTGCTCTGGAGAGAGTGGTTCCTCCAGAGAGCCCAAAGCGCTGTGCGTGTGGGAGGGCACCCCTCCTCGCTCAGGGCCCAGTCCCTTTCTCTGGCCACATTGTCCCACCTCTAGGACATGTGTTGGTGGCAGGGCCTGGCAGGTGCTAAGGAAGGGTGCTGTCACTATTTTTGGTGTCCTGGCTCTCCAGACCCAGGTGGGGCCTGTTAACTCCTTGCCCATTTCTAACAGGTAACATCCAAGTTCTGGTTGGCTCGCCTTCCTCCCGAGAAAGGCTTTGCAGGGCTTTAAGTAACCAGAGAGGTCAAGGCTGGCCACAGGGTTTGCCCACGGTATCTTGGCTCTTGGGCAGCTGTCAAGTGGTCCCCAGGTTGGATCTAGATGGGGTCGGTGTGCCTGGCTGGCAGAGGTAGGAGTGCTGTAGGGTGCATCGGGATTGAGGAAGAGATTCTAGACTGGAAGCTGCTGGGAGCTGTGTTCTATGAGAGGTGCAGGGCGACAGCTCTGAACGCAGCCCTTGGCCTGGGGAGTGGCACCCTTGGGCTGTGTTAGAAGGCAAGGAACAGCTCTGTGCTGGTGGCCACAGGGGAGCTAGGCTGAGAAATGCTCTGGAGATAAGGCAGGAGGCTGGCAGGGGGCCCAGGCCTTGGGTGTGGTGAGGTGGCCTGGCCTGGTAGACACACAGAAGAGGGAGCCTGATTCAGAACAGACTGGATGGTCAGCCCAGGAGAGACTGTGGTCAGAGGCAGAGTGGCAGACTCCTGCCCAGGCCACTGGGAATGACTTAGAGGAGCATGTCCTCTGAGAGGCCTCATGGTCACTAGTGTCTCTTCACCTTCCTGGCCTATCCTTGACTGGGTGCACTTCACCTGCTCAGGCCAGGTCCTGGCACCAAACCCCCACCTTCACCCCGAGCCTTGGACAACCAGGGAGTGCCGGCCCACTTGACTCAGGAGTGCTTGCTAAAGGGGACGTGCCAGTGGTCTGCTTGTCTTCACCCTTCTTCTCTCTCTCTCCTTTGCTTGCTGTCGGTAGCTGGACTCTGAGGCCGCCTCTCGTGCCCACAGCCAGGTAGGGTGCTCTCCCCCGACTCAGGAGCCCTCCGCTCCCTCCGGTGACCACCCAGCGCCCCCGGCCTGCACCTGGGCTGGCGTCTGTGCTCGGGCCTCCTGCTGGAGTGTAAGGCCTCTTTCTCCTCCAGGCTCCCATCCTGTGTCTGGGAGGACCCCAGCGGGAGGTAGTGCCAGGAGCTTGAGATGGTGCAGCTCTGTGTCAGGCCCCTGGGGAGCATCTAGACCGAGTGTCGCCCTTCAAGTCAGGCCCATGTGGCATGTGGTTCTCAGCCACTGGAGCCCAAGGGGGATCTGGTTGAGTTCTAGGTGTTTCAACTCTGCTGTCTCTGGAGAGGGAAAGCTGAAAAGGCGGAATCCCTGCCCTCTTCCCAGCCCATGCCTGAACATGAGACATTCTCTGTCTCCACCTCCTGGCCAATGTGAGAAACCCATTTTCAGATACACTTTAAAGGAGTTAGTTACAGACTATGATGTCACCTTCTTCATCAGTGCCCAAATACCTGGTGCCTATTCAACACAAAGGTCTCCCCTGTCTTATGTGATTTGGAAAAAAAAGAAAAAATTACAACATTGTAATGATTTTTATAAAGTTATAGTTCTTCAAATATAAAGAACTAGCCTTTTTAATGTCCTCACTTAACACACCAAAATGTTGCCAGCCACATGGTGATCCTCCTATTCAAAGAGTTATTTCATGGGTCCGTGAAACACAGAGATCTGGGAGCCACTGGTGCAGCCCAGCCCTCCTATTCTAATCTGGGGAAGGGCCATCCAGCACTGGAGGGATCTGCTAAAGCCAGAAGCCAACCTGGGAGGAAAGCACACATCTCCTTTTCTTTCAACTCCAAGAAATGTAACAAAGAACATACTTCTTATGTTTCCTTATCGTTTCCTGATTTCTCACTCAGGGGGTCAGGACCCAGGCAGTGTCCACGCCTGGGCCTCGGGTTTCAGGCTGATTGTGCCTCACAGCTGGGACCCTCCGAGAGTGTAGGGGCCTGGGCTAACCCGAGGGTGGGTCCATGCTACTGGGGTGCCCATCCCCCACCTGGGGCACAGGATGACCTTGCTGTCATTTCACCCACACACAAGAGGAGCCCGTTGGGCCCTGGGTCCTTCATCTGTTTCCCCAGGTCCCCCAGACACCGTTTCTTCCCAGTTCAAATGTCCTTCTTAGAGGGTGCCAGATTTGACAGCCCACACCCTGTCAGTACCTATGAATGCTTATTTCTGAATTGGTGACCTCCTGAGGCCTCTGGGGGCTCCCAGCCCCTTTACACCACTCCTGTGTCCATCTGTATGATGTGTAAGCCTCTCCCTGTGTTTGACAGAGCAGGGCTGCCCCTACCCCCATATCTCTGGCCGCACTGCCTCGTGCCTTTGTGTGGCATTAGCATGTCCACTAGGTCTGTGTGACAGGGGTCTTTGCTGATGGTGGCATGAAGAAGGAGCAGGGAGGCTGGTGTGTGTACCTGGGTACTGTCCCCTGGCCCAGGTAGAGCAGCCTCTGGACGGGAGGGCCAGGGCTGAGGCCAGGGCTCCGAGCCCACCTATCCTTCTGTACTGCGAAGTCCGGGCAACTCCCTACTGAGATCTGAGGACATGCCCTCTCCCAGCCTGGCAAAGGAGGCCCTATCATTTGGATGAAGGGAGAAGCTGGGCATGGAAGATCCTAGTAGCTGTGGCCAGGGTCTAGGGCCTTGGACTCAGGACACTGATCTCCCGGGCTTGGCAGGGTGAAGGGGTAGAGGGTGGCTGAGGGAGAACCTGGTGATTTGCTTTCCTGGGGCCTGCTCTCTCCTGGGCACAAGCTCCCTGTGTCCCTGTCTTGCCAGACCCTCACTGATGGTATGGTCCCTAGCCTTTGTGTCCTGTCCTCAGGGCTCCTCAGAGCCACCCCTGCCTCCTGGCTTCCCCACCCTCTTTCCCGGACACCTCTGATGTCCCTGTGTTCTGTGTCTGTCACCTAACTCATTCCTTGCCCAGTGGCTTGTCTCGAAGCCTATGCTCTCACTTGTCTCCCCTCTCCTGCTGTCCTTGTCCCTGTCTTCTATAGCAGGGCCTTTTATTCTTCCCTCTCGCTGACAGGCGAAGACAGAAGAGCAGATTGCAGCGGAGGAGGCCTGGAATGAGACGGAGAAGGTGTGGCTGGTCCACAGGGACGGCTTCTCACTGGGTGAGTCTTGGAGTGCCCAGGGGCACATGTCAGGACTCTCTGGTCTCAGGGCTGGGCAGCAAATGTGCCTTCTGCATCTGGTGAGGGCTGAGCAGTGAGCGAGAGGCTGGTGATGCAGTGGGGAGGAGGGCAGGACCGAGAAGTTCCCACATGGAGTAGCAGAGGCTTCCCTGGCCCATCCCAGCTGTCTGTCCCTCCCCTGCAGCCAGTCAACTCAAATCCGAGGAGCTCAGCTTGCCTGAGGGGAAGGTGCGCGTGAAGCTGGACCACGATGGGGCCATCCTGGATGTGGACGAGGATGACGTGGAGAAGGTGGGCAGGGGGCTGGGTTGGGGAAGGAGGCTCAGGAGTGCTCTGGGCAGGGCAGGCCCATCCTCTGGCAGCAGAGATGGGCTCTGCTGCTCCAGTGCCCACCCGCCTATCCTCCCGCACAGGCTAATGCTCCCTCCTGCGACCGTCTGGAGGATCTGGCCTCACTGGTGTACCTCAATGAGTCCAGTGTCCTGCACACCTTGCGCCAGCGCTATGGCGCTAGCCTGCTGCACACGTATGCTGGCCCCAGCCTGCTGGTTCTTGGCCCCCGTGGGGCCCCTGCTGTGTACTCCGAGAAGGTGCGGCACCCTCAAGGCTACCCTGCAGACTCCTGGCCCCACCCCCTGCCCTGGCTCTCTGCCCTTCCCCTGTGGCATCCCACTGGGCTCCTATCCACTCTCACAGTTGACCTTGGGAAGAGGAGTCATTTCAAGAGATGGGGGACAGGACCTCCCCACAACCTTTGATGGAGTCCAGGACTTACCTTCTGTATTTCCATGCATGGCCTTGGAATCCCTGGGCACTACAGGAGGGAAAATCCAGAAAGATGTGGACCTTAGTGGTGAGGGCTGTCTTAATGGGATCAGCTAAGAGCCAACCCCTTCTCTCCCTTGCTCTCCTGCCCAAGGTGATGCACATGTTCAAGGGGTGTCGGCGGGAGGACATGGCACCCCACATCTATGCCGTGGCCCAGACCGCATACAGGGCGATGCTGATGAGCCGTCAGGACCAGTCAATCATCCTCCTGGGTAGTAGTGGCAGTGGCAAGACCACCAGCTGCCAGCATCTGGTGCAGTACCTGGCCACCATCGCGGGCATCAGCGGGAACAAGGTGTTTTCTGGTGAGGCAAGAACAACAGAGAAAACTGAAAGTGGGGTGAGGGGAGGGGAGTGAGGAGAGAGCACCCTCTTAAGTGCCAGCTCTTTTTCTCCCTGGCCTTTCCATCCCCCTGAAACCCCTCTGTCCATGGGCAGTTCTGTGAATGGCCCCAAGCCTTCATACCTCTGGAGCTCCTAGCTGGGAGATGAGCTGCCCCTGGCTTTCCTGATGTCCCCTTGGGCCTGTATTCTGCAGTGGAGAAGTGGCAGGCTCTGTACACCCTCCTGGAAGCCTTTGGGAACAGCCCCACCATCATGAACGGCAATGCCACCCGCTTCTCCCAGATCCTCTCCCTGGACTTTGACCAAGCTGGCCAGGTGGCCTCAGCCTCCATTCAGGTGAGAGTGCTGCCCAGGACTCGGGGTAGTAGGAGATGGGCCACGTGATTTCATGACCTAGAAATTAGGCTGTCTCCCATGCCTCATTTTCCTGGGATTCTACCCCAACAAAATTGACCCAGGCACAGGCAGGCTTGCCCTGTGCTACCCGGAGGCATCACCTTCTGCCCTCAGGGCCTCCTGCCCTGGATGGGGCCTGGTCCAGCTTTCTGCCCAGTTCGCTTCACTCTCCCAACCCTGGGGTTGTCCTCACTCTACTGCTGGGCCTCAGCCTCACACCCATTTTCTGAGATTCATGCTTGGGGCTTCTCTCGGGCCGATTTCACCCAGCAGAAGACCGGCTTGTCAGTAAAGTAAGGCCCAGCCAAGGCTGATTCTTTCCCATGCTAAATACCTCATCACAGGCTCCCATTTCCAGAAGGCAGGCACCTGGGGGCTGGGCAGCGTGGCAGGGCCCCTTTGGGAGCTGGGCCTGTCTTCTTCCACCTCATTCTGGTTTCTGTCCCCAGTTTGATCCTAGAGGGATCTGGTATCTGGTTGAGCACCTTGGGAATGAGATGCAGCTGCTTAATTGAGCGAGATGTGGTAGTGCATGCCTGTGGTCCCAGCTACTTGGGAGACTGAAATGGGAGGGTCACTTGAGCCTGGGAGGTTAAGGCTGCAGCAAGCTGTGATTGTGCCACTGCACTCCAGCTTGGGCAACAGAGCGAGACCCTATCTTAAAAAAAAAGAATTAAAAAACAAGATGCAGTTTGGGTGCAGTGGCTCATGCCTGTAATCCCAGCACTTTGGGAGGCTGAGGTGGGTGGATCACCTGAGGTCAGGAGTTCAAGACCAGCCTGGCCAACATGGTGAAACCCCATCTCTACTAAAAATACAAAAATCAGTTGGGCGTGGTGGTGCATGCCTGTAATCCCAGCTACTCAGGAGGCCAAGGCAGGAGAATCACTTGAACCCAGGAGGCGAAGGTTGCAGTGAGCCAAGATCACTCCACTTTGCTCCAGCCTGGGTGACAGAGTGAGACTCTATCTCAAATCTTAAAAAAAATGCAGCTGCTTGTTCCCCAGGGCCTAGAGGACCATGGGTTTGATTCCTTTTGATGTGGGGTGGGAAAAACTTGATCTGGCACTACCCTGCTTACCCACACCTCCATGCTGTGCCACAGACAATGCTTCTGGAGAAGCTTCGTGTGGCTCGGCGCCCAGCCAGTGAGGCCACATTCAACATCTTCTACTACCTGCTGGCCTGTGGGGATGGCACCCTCAGGTGAGATGGGTCAGAGGGTACACAAGGGTGCTATGAGCTCCAGCCCGCTGACTGGCCTCCTGGACCTTGATTGCATCCAGGATTAAAGCCACTTGATCACGTCCTGCACTGTTTGGTCATTGCATGTCAGCTATGTGGTAGGCTCTGAGCTAGGCCCCAGGGACGGTGACACGGATGAGATGTAGTCCCTGCCTATCAGGAACTCCCTGGTCCTGGGTACTGGGGCCTGGCTATGTGGGAGGGGAACAGAAAACCCTTCAGTGTTTCCAGGGCCTAGCTAGGATCTCCATTACCCATGAAGCCAGTTCTGGAAAGCAAAGCTCACTGAGGTGCCGGTGGTTGGGGACTTGCCTACCATCGCATGACTGGTAGGGGTATTTGAGTCCACACTGGGGCCAAAAGCCCATGCCTCTTCCAGTGGCCTCCAGACTAGCCCTTCCTGCCCCGTGTTGGCTGCCTCTGCCACGCTCTTCCCTTTAGACCTTCAGACTTGCTGTGTGTTCACTGAAAAGAGATAAATGATGAGGCTGAGCCAGCAACCCCAGGCCATTGTCCTCTTTAGCCCTTCTTGTAACTGAGGGCATGGTCTCTGCCTTGGCTGGACTCACCCTTCGGTCAGGTTCCCTGCTCCCTTCTGGGGGCCTGGCTGCATCCTCTTACCAGGGCATGTCTGGTGGCCTGTACTCAGGAGAATGGTGCCCTGACCAGGCATCCAGGCCAGTTAGGAAAGCAGTGGCAGCTGGCCTGCCAGTCGGGGATGATGGGAGGATGGGCAGACAGAACTTGGAGTCTGGAAGCTGAGTCTGTCTGTCTCCACCCTGGGGGGAAATGGCCTTGGCATGGGGACCAAGCGCCGTGCTGACGCCTTATTTATACCCCTAGGACAGAGCTCCACCTCAACCACTTGGCAGAGAACAATGTGTTTGGGATTGTGCCACTGGCCAAGGTGAGGGGTCTGTGGGTCTGGGTTGGCAGCCCTGGGCCTTGGAGGGTAGGAAAAGCCTCCATGGGTCCCGTGGGAATAATGGGAGCCCAGCTCCAGCTGCTGGCTCTACCCAAGCCTTGTCTTGAGTGCCCAGCTTCTCATGGGGGTGTGCTGGGAGGAACAGCCCTTTGAAGTCATCTATCTCCACAGCCTGAGGAAAAGCAGAAGGCAGCTCAGCAGTTTAGTAAGCTGCAGGCGGCCATGAAGGTGCTGGGCATCTCCCCCGATGAACAGAAGGCCTGCTGGCTCATTCTGGCTGCCATCTACCACCTGGGGGCTGCAGGAGCTACCAAAGGTAACCTGCAGTGGGTCCCAGTAGGCTGGCCTGTCCCCTGGGAGATCTCTTAGGGGCCCTGCCCACTCCCAGTTTATTCTTGCCCAGCACAGACTCAGCCATTCTGAGACACCCCTCTTTTGCTTGTGCCTCTTCTCAGCCCCCCGGGGGGCACTGTGAGGAAGCATGGAGGGCTGGGGGTTCAGAGGCTGAGGGACGAGAAGGACACTAAGGCAGGGCAGCCCCGCTGGAATAACTCTCCTTCTTGTTCCCTTCCTGACAGAGGCCCCCGAGGAGCAAGCGGGTAACTGACCTTGGCCCCGCCCTGGGGTGTAGGGGCCGCCGTGCTCTGTCTTGGTGCTTGCCCAGGACTTTCTGGGAGCTGGGCTTGTTCTATTGCTGCGGAGAGGACTGGTCTGGGGAGAACCCCAGGGGTTGAGAATGAAAGGGGAGCCTGCAGGCTGTGGGGTGTCTTGGAGCCCCAGGAGTAGCTGCTTCTCCTGCCAGTTTTGGATCTGAATCCTGGAACCTCTCAGGATGCCCACCATGGGGTGGGGTAGGGTGGGCTTGCTTCCTGGGGCCTCCGGAGACCAGTTTTCCCCAGTCCTCTTTTCTTCTCTCCACTGGTTGGGTAGCTGCGTATCTTCCTCTTGCATGTCAAGGTGGCGGCCACTAGGGGTCAGTAGGCACCGTGGTAACGAATGGGCTGCAGCTTTGGCACTTTGCGCTTGGGGACTTGGCCTGGCTTGGAGGAGCTCTGCTCCATCCTTCAAGATGACTTACGTTGGAGGGTGGCGATTTGAGCACCTCTTCACCCCTTTTTTCTACAGTTTAGGGAAAGGGGATGCTAGTGCTGAACAGCACCTCGGGCTTTGGCTTTGTCCCCTTCTGGGATGTGAGGGGCCCCAGGCTGCTCAGCTGGAGTGAGAAAGCCCTGGCGGGTGGTGGGTGCATGGAGGAATGGATGCCCGGGCGTGAGGCTCCGTGCGACCCCAAGAAGTGGCATCCCTGCCCAGGAGGAGCCAGGCTCTGGGTTAGGGAAGTTGTTTCGAGAATGTGGAGGACGGACAGGCAGGCAGGCGTGTGGCTGTGTGTTGAGGGAAGTTGCTTCACTCTGAGGTGGTGACAAGCCTAGCTTTCCTCTAACCTACCCAGCCCCAGCTGCAAGCAGAGAGCTCCGGGTGTCAGCAAAGGGACCTTGTCGAGCAATGTCTGTTAGCGCCTTACAGGGACCTTGTCGAGTAATGTCTGTTAGCGCCTCAGAGCTTCCAGTGTTTTCCAGGGTGTGTGTGTGCGCGCGCACACATGTGCATGAATGTCTTTGTGGGTCTCTTTCTGTATGTGTCAGTGTGATTACACCCACAAACATACTCCCTGGAGACTGTGTGTGTGTGTTTGCATTTGTCCCAAGTCTGACTGTGGTTGTGTTTTCTTGCCTGCTCATCCTCACAACAGCCCTGCCCCACGGTCCCTTCGAGGCGGCGAGCCCCGTTGATGACTGTTTGCTAACACACTGTTTTTCTTTGCATGCTGCATGCTGGTCCTTTGCCTTACAGAAGCTGCTGAAGGTAAAACCTTGTTTCTTGTTAGCTTTCCCTAATTGCTGTGATTAGACACATGTTGGCTGAGGCACATACGTCTGTGCGGGCTGTTCCCTTTCCTCTGCGGCTTTTTTGCCTCCCCACTGTTGGGCCATCAGTGGGTGTTTGTGGTCTCCACTGGCAGATGCCAGGGGGGCAAGAGGGAGGGTTCTAATGCACCCAGGGAATGAGGAGGCATGAGCGATCTCTCAAGATAAATCCCCCACAGGCACACAGGGTTCTTGTGCCCATCCCAGGTGGGCTGGTTCGTCCGCCCTTCCCCTACTTGGGCACCCCTGGAGCTGAGCCGTCTGAAAAGGGGTTTTTGCAACCGGCTTGTTGCCCTCCGGTGGCAGCATGTGGAGTTACCGCCTACTTTAGGACCTGCTCATTCTCTCCATCCCCATGGAACACAGGAAATGCTGGCCACTGCTGGCTGCCCCTATTCTGCCTAAAGCCCATCAGGTGTCATCAGGGCTGGTTTTTGCCCCCAGAAGATGCATAGTCATCAGCTGGTCATCAGGTCATCAGCTGGCCTAAGGAAAAAGACCCAGGATGCCAGATCCCTTTTTCCACTCCACAGCTGGGCGCAAGCAGTTTGCCCGCCATGAGTGGGCCCAGAAGGCTGCGTACCTACTGGGCTGCAGCCTGGAGGAGCTGTCTTCAGCCATCTTCAAGCACCAGCACAAGGGTGGCACTCTGCAGCGCTCCACCTCCTTCCGCCAGGGCCCTGAGGAGAGTGGCCTGGGAGATGGGACAGGTACGCTTTGTCCCTTGGCTGATGGTTGTGAGCGGGAGGCCTCATCCCGGCCTTGCTGCCATCCCTGGGGCTGGAGGGGATTGCTGGAGTGAACAGATGCTCTGTCAGTGGCAGAGGCCCTGCCCCAGGCCCCGTGCTAACTGGGCCTTGGGCAGGTCAGGGGCCTACCCAGGTGGGGAGTCCTGCAGAGCAGGAGATAGCGCTGCTCCCCCTGCCCCACAGGCCCGAAACTGAGTGCGCTGGAGTGCCTTGAGGGCATGGCGGCTGGCCTCTACAGTGAGCTCTTCACCCTTCTCGTCTCCCTGGTGAACAGGTGAGTGCCAGGCAGGACCCAGGGCTTTTCCTGCTTTGGCAGAGGTGGAGTAGATGCCTTTGTGCCTGGTTGGCCGAGGCAGAGCCGGCCTCCTCCAGCAGGGTCTCCCTGTACTGTGGGCTATGAGCAAGGCCAGCACGCCCTCCCCCCCCAGGGTCCTGGGCACCTGGGCAGGGATGGAAGTCTGGCTGGGGCAGGGTGGGGCTTCCTGGTGCCAGAGGCCAACCAGCGGGGCTCTGACCCAGGCTGTCCCTATCCAGGGCTCTCAAGTCCAGCCAGCACTCGCTCTGCTCCATGATGATTGTCGACACCCCGGGTTTCCAGAACCCTGAGCAGGGTGGGTCGGCCCGCGGAGCCTCCTTTGAAGAGCTGTGCCACAACTACACCCAGGACCGGCTGCAGAGGCTCTTCCACGAGCGCACCTTCGTGCAGGAGTTGGAAAGATACAAGGAGGTAGCTCTGGGGCCTGGGCCTCACCTGGCCTCAGATTCTGGCCTTGGCACCCCTAGAGAGGGCATCTATGGATGCAGAAGGCACCACCTTAACTCTCCACTTCTGTCCTCCTGCACTCTCTGGAGCAGCAGTCGTTCCTTGCCCCCTTGTCCCTGGCCTCTGGCTTTGGCTACATTCTTACTTGGTGGAGAGTTTACTCTCCAGGAAGCCTACAGGTGCATTGAGGGCCCTGAGGAGACCGCCCTTGGCCTCTTTTGAGGCACCTCCCAGGCCCAGTGATTGCCACTGTGTGGTTCCTGCTCCAAGTGTGTCTGGGCCTGGCCTTCCCATCTCCCTTCCCTGATCTGTGAGGGTGACAGATGATGACTTAGTGCCTTCTGTAAAAGGGTGTCCCTGATGGGATGAGAACTGGAAATCCTGCCTCATCTGGAAATGAGTTGAGTGAATTGTCAGGATATTTATTTGGGGCGAGAAAGGATTCAGAAGGAAAATGGCAGTTGTCTTCAAGTGTTTCAAGGATGATTGTGTGAAATTGAGAGTGGGCTTGCTCTGTGTTGCCTAATCAACTGATGTGAGTAATGAGAATGTGACTCTGGCTTAGGATAAAAAGAGGTTCGGAGAATTTTAGCTGTGCAAAAAATACAGTGTGTTGCCTTGGGAGCCGTTTCATTTGGGATGACGGAGGGAGCTCCTGCACGGCACTGAAGGAGGTTGGCCTTGCAGATCTCAGAGCTCCCTCCCAGCCTGCTCACAGGGCTGTTCCCCACAACGTGACCCCCATGCTCAGTACTGCTCGGCCTTCCTTCCCAGGAGAACATCGAGCTGGCGTTTGATGACTTGGAGTCCCCCACGGATGACTCTGTGGCTGCTGTGGACCAGGCCTCCCATCAGTCCCTGGTAGGAGCTGCAGAGAGGGTTTGAGAGAGCCTTTCCTCTCATTTCCCACCCGGCTCCCTGTGGTGGAGCCCTCTCCATCTGAGCTGCTGCCAGGAGTGCCACTGTGGGCTGAGGGAGGGTCCAGCAGTCATGCCCAGACACCAACTACTCTATGGCGCTGGGGCTCTGCCCCTTAGCACTCACGCAGTCTGGCCAGGAAGGTGGCACTTTCTTCTGCTCTAGTGCCCTGGGGAGCCACAGCCCACGGGTGTCCCAGCCAGGCAGGAAAGCATATCTCCTTTCTCAGCCTCTGAGGCTCAGGCCCCAGCTGGTGACTGGCTGAGCCTCCAGTGTGTCTGCCAGGAGCCCTGGTGACCAGTCCCAGGTGGTGAGGGTCCAGACCCCGAGGACATAGTCATTCCCTCCCATTGTCCCCAAGTAGAGGACTGGTGCAACCTAACAGAGCAGGGCCAGGAGGCAGCCTCCCACTCCCAGGGGAAACAGTGCCAAGCTGTCAAATGCCCTCTAGGGGGCTGTCATGGATATGAACCCTCGCCCCTCAACCTTGGGGGCAGGCTTTGTCACCCTTTGTGCTAGTGTCCTGGGCACCTTGGCATTTGGCGATTGTCCGCCATTAGGGGAATTGCATAAGGTGCTTTATTGGCGAACTGGCATTTTTGCGAGGCCGCCAATCTCCATCCTGTGCTTTGATTCCTGCCTCTCCCTCCCTCTTCTCTGCCATAAGGCCCTGCTTGGCTTGCACAAGTGGTGGGACTGGGAAAGAGTGAGTACCCCCCGGGGACAGATGTTTAAAGTGCCCAAGCACCGCATCTCCCCAGGGAAGTGGATTTTCTTTTCCTGGCACCTGGGCTCCTGTGACGGCCTCACTCAGAACCGTTGTGGCTCCCGGAAGAGGGGGCTGTCAGCATAAGCGGCAGGGGTCAGACAGCATGTGGGAAGAGCTTGGCCCTTCTTTCTCTTCTGTGGTCTCCCCTGACTAATGGGCCTTGGCATGGGGCAGCTGCACCCCTGGGGAAAGGGACCTTGGTGCCAAGCCTGTCTTCCCATCTGATTGCTTCATTGCTCGTTCCTGCTACTTGGTTCCTGCCGCCAGAGTTACCCTGGCCTTTGGCCACATTCTGCTTCCTTCTGGTAATCACGCCAGCTCCCTTGGGCATCTGTGGGGAGGAGATGCAGGCAGCTGGGGTCAAAGAGAGAAAAAACTGCCCCTTTCTCACTTCTTTTTTCCTCCAGTCCCTAAAGGCCAGGCCGGAATAGGGTGTGGGGAAGGTTCCATCCTTCCTGCCCAAGAAAGATGTGGGAACTCCACAGAAAAGGCACCTGCAGGCCAGATGTGGCCACAGGCCTAGTTTGTTTGGCCTTCCTGGGATATTGGAAATCAGAATCGGGTATTTCTGCCTTCTCTTGAAGAACCAGAGGGTTTATCAATGCTAGGCCAGTGTTCTTCCAGGACAGCAGTTGGCTGCAGCTCAGTGGTGGTTGTTCCCTGTAGATAGGGGTACCTGCTGTCTAGCTTGCCCCAGCCTCTGCCCATTTTGGCTGCCACATCCGTTAAGTCACCTGTCTTATGCTTTTGGTCCTTGAGTGAGCCTGCAGTGATCCCACCAGCAGCCATCTGAGCCCCCTCTGGGTTCTCTACTCTCAGAGACCAGGATTAACCCCACAGCTGTCACTTACTGACAGCTTCCTTAGAGCCAACCCTTGTGCTCAGGGCCTTCCAGACTTTATCCCACTGCCAGGGAGTGAGAGCAATATGGGGTTCACCCAAGTCCCTGGTGACCTCCGAGGGGAAAGGGTGGAGGAGGGCCTCAGGGCGTGGGCTCTGGCCAGGAGGAAGGCTGCAGTCTTTGGTGACTTTGGACTGGAGTGCTAAGCACCCTCTTTTGCTGTGGGCTTCCCTTTGCTCCCTTTCTTGGCTTCCCTTTCCCTGGGCTGCCCGCCTCCTCCACAAGGTGTCAGCAGTGAGCGACAGGAGCTGCAGCGTGTGCGTGCGTGCATGTGTGCACGTGCGTAGCATTCTGTAGGGTGTGTTTGGGCCTGAGGACCACCCTGGCCCCTTTCCCACAGCTCCATATGACAAGGAGGGATTTCCTTCCTTCTCTGTAGGTCCGCTCGCTGGCCCGCACAGATGAGGCAAGGGGCCTGCTATGGCTATTGGAAGAGGAGGCTCTGGTGCCAGGGGCCAGTGAGGACACCCTCCTGGAGCGCCTTTTCTCCTATTATGGCCCCCAGGAAGGTGACAAAAAAGGTAGGTGGCATCCCTAGAGGGTAGCTCCTCTGCTTCCTCTTACAGGTGGGTCTAGGTGGCACTCCCTGTGCAGGGGATCACTTTGTGCCTGTGCCCTGACAACCTGAATCTTGCTTCTCCCACCGTCAGGCCAAAGCCCCCTTCTGCGCAGCAGCAAACCACACCACTTTCTCCTGGGCCACAGCCATGGCACCAACTGGGTAGAGTACAACGTGACTGGCTGGCTGAACTACACCAAGCAGAACCCAGCCACCCAGAATGCCCCCCGGCTCCTGCAGGACTCCCAGAAGTAAGACCACCACTGCCTCCTCCCCTGTCCTGTACCCAGGACTGTTTTGATTTTGGGGCTCCCTCCCCCTGGAGTTGTCTCAGAGGCCCCCTCACTAGCAAAATAAATGGCCTTTATTCCTGAGAGGCAACAGCCCAGGGCACTTGGCCTGGAGGAGCTGGAGGGGCCTCTTGGAGTAAAGGTGGGAGGCAGACATGGTGGGAGAGCCTATGGTTTAAATGTGAAGAACACCCCCAAGTCAAAGAAGGCAGGAGTGGCCTTAGAAACCCCCAGGCCCATAGGCCCTGTCATCCGCTCTGCTCTTCAGAAGATGGTTAGGGGCACCTACCCTGCGACAGGGGCTTCTAGGTGTTTGGCAGATCATAGTGAACAAAACTGAGCTCCCTGCCCTTGTGGAATTTACATTCTAGTGGGAGAGACAGATAATGAACAGTAAACGTAATAAATAAATTATATCGTATGTTAGAAGATGTTGAACCCTAACCCCTCCTGTCACATTGGAAACCTTTCCACACCTTTGCCCTCCCTGGTGAGTGGAAGTAGATGAGTAGATCGCTCCCCTCTGTCCAATTCCTGTCCACCCCTTGGCTTCTGCCCACCTCTGGCTTTCTCTCCGTATTGTTTGAAAATTTCTCCACTGTTCGTTTCTCTGTAGGGTGTGGGGCATGCAGTTCAGGTAGCCAGGCCCCTGGACATGGCTGAATGGGACTGTTTGGTGCTCTGGGGCCTTGGGGGAGGAGCGGCCTTTTCCGCTTCATCGATGTGACTGCTTTTCCTCCCTTATCCTCCCACCTCTGGCAGAAAAATCATCAGCAACCTGTTTCTGGGCCGCGCAGGCAGTGCCACGGTGCTGTCTGGCTCCATTGCGGGCCTGGAGGGCGGCTCGCAGCTGGCACTGCGTCGGGCCACCAGCATGCGGAAGACCTTTACCACGGGCATGGCGGCTGTCAAAAAGAAGTCACTGTGCATCCAGATGAAGCTGCAAGTGGTGAGTGCCAACCGGTTCCCAGCAGGCAGGCCTGGGGACTCTTCCTTACCCCTGGCAGGCAGGCCTGGGGACTCCGAGCACACTGAGGCCATCTGGTGCCCACTCAGCGTCGCGCTGTGACTCGATGGCTGCTGGTGGGGCCTTCTTTTTCAGTGCTGCCACCTGTGAGTGGCCACCCAGGCCCAGCGAGGGCAGAGTTGTCCAGGCTTAGTAGGTCCTGGCTGGTGCTGGCGCCCTTGCTACCCCGTGAGCAGTGGAGACGCTGGCACCAGTCTCTGCTCTTCTGAGCACAGGCCATCAGAGCCCACTGAGGGCGGTCCCTTCCCCTCGGCAGGATGCCCTCATCGACACCATCAAGAAGTCGAAGCTGCATTTTGTGCACTGCTTCCTGCCTGTGGCTGAGGGCTGGGCTGGGGAGCCCCGTTCCGCCTCCTCCTGCCGAGTCAGCAGCAGCAGTGAGCTGGACCTGCCCTCCGGAGACCACTGCGAGGCTGGGCTCCTGCAGCTCGACGTGCCCCTGCTCCGCACCCAGCTCCGCGGCTCCCGCCTGCTCGATGCCATGCGCATGTACCGCCAAGGTGGGGCCTCCTTTCCTCTCCACTTTGGGCTCTCTTTTCCAGAGCTGGCTCTGCCCTGCCCCACCTCGCACCTGGGACCCGTGGGCTGCAGTGGGGCTGCTCCTGTCTCTTTCCTCACGATCCTTTCTGCTCTGGTCTCTCATCTCTCCCAGCCCACAGCCCCTTCCTTTCTCCATTTCTTTCCATCTTGCAGAGTCCCCACCTCCTCCTCTCCCTTCCGTATTCAGTTCTCTTCATCCCTCTCCCCTCCCAGCTCCACCCCGCGCCTTGTCATTTGTCCACAGCTCCCTTTCTCCTCACGTCCCTAGTTTGAACAGTTCAACTTTGCCCACAGCAGCAAACCCAGTGCCCTTTCGGAGCCATCTGCCTAATGAGAAATGAGGTGCTAAATCTTTCTGAAGTACTTAAAACTCCCAAGAAAGGTCAGTCAGACCCTTTTTTATGGGCCCATCTAAAAGAGGAGACATAGAGGATGATAGTATCAGTGGTTACTTAGAGTCCATAGAAGCTATTGTCGGTGGCTGGGGGCCGGGATAGCACACCGCTATCATGATAGCACACTGCTATTATTCCAAATGAGGAGACTGAGGCTCAGAGAGGTTAAGTAGCTTGCCCAAGGTCACACAGCTCCTGAGCGGCAGAGTGGGATTTGACCAGGCAGGCTGGCTGTAGAGTCATGTCTCATGTCTCTCAATTGGGGTTTTTTGGTTGTTGTTTTTGTTGTTGTTGTTTTGCCTGAGAAGTTATGAGTTGCTGGGTTTCTGATGTTTTTCTCCTTTGCTAGAAGAGCAGGTAGACCCACCCACAGCCAGGTCCCCTTCAGGCATTCCCATGGGCACTGTCACTTTTCTTTAGCAGCCCAAGCCAGGAAACGGGCTCCCTGCCCTGCTCTAAATAAATCATCGATCTGTCCCCACGTCTTGATATGGAGTTGGTGTTTATTATTTCAAAACCAGATTGTTACCGCTCTGAACCAAAATCAATGTGCTTTACTCAAACAAGCAGATCGATGAGGCCAGCAGCAGCAGGCCCCCCTTCCCTCACCCGGCCCCTAGCCACCGACGATAGCACTGATGATTAATTAAGATGCCAGGCGTCCAGACCTGCTATCCTGGCCCATCAATTTAATTGCAATTCAGATACAATCAATAGCTCACTTTGTCTTGGCCCCTCAGCAGCCCCCGCCTCCTGTTTCAATTATCAGGCACATGCATCAGCCTCACCTCCCAGCTGGAGGGTTTCCCAGAGCCAGCTAGTCCATCATTGCTGTGGAGCAAGTCCCTGGCTGACTGTCGGGAGTCCAGGTTTGGAAGCCAGTTCTGCCCCCAGCGGCAGCCTTTGTGACCTTGAGCAAGCCAGTCGCTTCTCCCAGGCCTCCATTTCTATGTCTGAAAGATGAGTCAGATCTGGTTTAAGAAGAAACCCTTTCTGGTTTGAAATTCTGTGATTCTGTGGGAGTGGAGTTCGTGGCCCTCCACCCTGGGCTCTGGTAAGATCAGGGTGACTTGGGGTCACCTCGTGCTAGCCACTGCTCTGACCTTGCTCCAAGCCAAAAGCCACCTTGCTCCAAGCCAAAAGTCAGGTCACACCTCCCCTGACCTGAAGCCCAGACACTCTTCAGGGAAAGAGAATCTACAAGTCTTATTGGTCACCTGGCCTAGGACTCAAGGTCAGGATGAGGCAAGGAGGGCGGCCTTTCTGATGTCCTGCTTCAGTGGACGGAGGGGGAAAAGAAGTGTTTATTAAATGCCAAGCAAGTGAGTCACACTGTGCTTTTTACTTGGTTTCTCATTTAATCTCCATGACTACCATGCGAGATAAATGCTAGGGCCCCCGTTTAAAGGTGAAGACACTGAGGCTCAGAGAGGTTAAGTGACTGGCCCAAGGTCACATGATCCTAAGAGGCAGGGCCAGGAATCCAGCACCTAGCCAATGCATGATTCCTTTCAGCTACTCTGGTGCCTTTTTTTGTTTTTTGTTTTTTTTGAGACAGAGTCTTGCTCTGTCTCCCAGGCTGGAGTGCAGTGGTGTGATTTTGGCTCACTGCAGCCTCTGCCTCCTGAGTTCAAGCGATTCTCCCGCCTCAGCCTGCTGAGTAGCTGGGACTACAGGCATGGACCACTATACCCAGCTTACTTTTTTGTATTTTTAGTAGAGACGGAGTTTCACCATGCTGGCCAGGCTTGTCTCAAACTCCTGGCCTTAAGTGATCCTCCCACCTTGGCCTCCCAAAGTGTTGGGATTATAGGCATGAGCCACCACGCCTGGCCTGGTGTCCTTTTTTTTTTTTCTTTTTTTTTAAAGACCACAGGACATTGTTCTGTCTGCGTTATCACTGAGACATAGACTTGGAGGGCTAGAAAGCATCTTGGAGATTGGGACGTAGCCTTCCTCCGAGCTGGTCAGCTGCCCCGCAACCCCCCATTTGCATACCTCACTGACTAGGAGCTTACTTCTTTCTGAAGGAACCTGTTCCTTTTTCAAACCTTCCTGTCCCCCTGTGGAGCAGGCCTGATTGTCCTCCTGGCCTCCTCTTCCTCTTCCCTGACTCCCCACTCTACTTTCGAGGCCTGCCTTCAACCACAGGCTCCCCACCCGCTGCAGTTTCTTCCCTTTTGGTGACTGTCCACTGACTGCCCAGGCACCAGTGGCTACTGGGGTGTGCTGGGAACAGGCAGCGTTGATGGGCCTGGCTCTGGGCTGCTCTCTCCAGGTTACCCTGACCACATGGTGTTTTCTGAGTTCCGCCGCCGCTTTGATGTCCTGGCCCCGCACCTGACCAAGAAACACGGGCGTAACTACATCGTGGTGGATGAAAGGCGGGTAGGTCCAGGTCCCCAGACCACTCTCCGTCTGCCCAGGCCCCTCAAGCAGCTGCCCTTCCCAGACTCATCTGCCTTCCCTCCCCTGGAGACAGCCCATCTGGCCCTGCTCAGGCTCCTGGTTTTGGAAGCACCCAGCTGTGTCCAGGGGCCCAGACCGTAGGAGCTGGAGAAGAGCCATTCCCTCCTTGGAGGCCTGAGCTGGGGGTGTCTGCTCACTGGTGGGTCAGACAATCATCCAGGAGCGAGCAGGGCCTGGGCCCACTGGGGGCACATGAGAATTATTAGTGCCTTGGGAGCCCCACTGACGGCACCTGGGCCCCCAGCCTGGCCCCCATGTCAGGGATTGGTTCCTGAAGCAGGAAACTGTCCAGGGCTGGGTGAACATTCCTCCTAGAAGGAAGGTGGATATGGCGAGACCTCTGTGGTGCCAGGTGAACACAGGCTGCTGGGCCCTTTCCGGCCCTGGGTGGTGAACTCGCGGCTGCGGAAGGGGTGTCCCTGCCCGTCTGGGCTGTCATGTTGAGCCCCAGAGGCAGCCCCTTAGACAGTCACAGGGCTCCCAGAGCAGAGGACCCCTCCTTTACTGTGCTGGGCCTCAGGCACCCATCCTGATTCTGAAAACATCTCAGACCTTAGGATGGCTTCCCTAAAAGGAGGGGATGCTGCAGAATGGGGCAGAAAGCCCACAGAGTGCCCAGCCTGTGTGTGCCCCCCTGCCCCTCCACCCCCGCCTCAAAGACCTGAATTCATAGAGGGGGCTTGGAAGAACTTTCTTCCGTCCTTTGGCCTGCTGGTGGCCTGGGCAACCTCGTGTGGACATCGATGCCCGTCCCACGCCCCCTTCTCACGGGCCTCAGCCTCCATTCCAGCCTCCCACCTGTGGCTACACCAGTACCTCATCAGCTCTGGAAATGCCCCACCTCTGAAATCATAAATCCCAGCGTGACCTTCTCTGACCACAGCCTCCTGCCTGCTGGTCCCACACCTCTCTTCCCCTCAGGGCACCTGCTCTCCAGCTCCGTCAGGACCTCTCTTTCTGGATCACACTCCGTTTCTCTGTCAATTGTCTCCTTTTCCATGGTTCACTCTGCAGTCACTCTGCCTCCATTGCCCTCAGCCCTCCTGAGCCTCCCGCAGCACCTGGCCTGCCAAACTCCCACCTCAAAGTGCCAGGCTTTGGGTGTCTGCACTCCTCACTTTGGGCTCCCAAGGGTGGTGGAAGAAAATTATACAACTTTGTGGACTTGACTTCCTACAGGTTCATGGTCTTCAGCCTTTGGTGGGCCCTCGGGGGGAACCAGCAAGTCTTCTAGATGTCCCCTTCCTATCTGACCGTGACTCCAGGCTTCCTATCTGCTATTCCATTCTCCATCTTTCTCCTCAAATTCTCCCCACCTCACCTTTCTGGCTCACCTTCTCAGCAGATACCCAACTTCCAGCTCTCAGGATATCAGGCTCCAGCTTCTTTTCCTGCCTCCTGCAAACCTCTCTTCCTTGGCCTCCTTATTCCTGTACACCTTCTGTCTTGGTGGGGAGGGTCCCTCCTCTCGTCCAGTGCCTTGGAGTCCATTTCCTTGGGTCTCCCCAGAGACCCGTTCTATCGGTGTGAATTTGCTTCTCTGTCTTTTTCCTCCAGCATCTCCTTTTCTCCTGGCCCTTTTCTCTCCATGGAGAAACTCCCCCACAGACCTGCAGGGTTTGCTCTCTGGAAGGAGCCTCTGTCACCTCTGTCATCATCTCCCTGTACTGTGCTCTGCCTCCTGCCTGCCCTGGGCTTTCTTCCTGCTGCCCTCACCGCCCATGGCTGCCTGGTCCCTCTCCCTGATGCCCTGGCACTGGTCTTCTCATCCCCTCCATATTGCCACAGCCAACCGGCACTTTCTATCCCTCTGTTACTTGAATTCTTAGCAGCACGGGGCTCCATTTTTTCTGGGACATCCTCTCCTGGGCCTCTTTGCTGCCACTCCTGGTTTCCCCCTTGACTCTGTTCTCATTCCCTCTGAGCTCCTCATTTCCACTTGCCCCTGAAGTAAAGAGGTGTCTTCCTCAGGACTTTGTCTTTGGCCATATGTATTTTCTATTCTGCACCCTCTTCCTGGCCAACCTCATTCACACTCATCACTTCAATTACTGCATATATATTGATGACTCCCAAATCAATACCTCTAGCCCAGGCCTCTCTCCTGAGCTCCAGACATACATTTCTATCTGACTGCCTTCTGGACTTCTCTACCCCTATCCCTTATGGCATCTCAGACTCAGCTTTTTCAAACCAAACTCATTCTGTCTCCCACAGGTCGGCTCTTTCTCTTATATTCCCTACTTTGGAGAATGGCACCATTATCTGCTTAGTTATGTCAATCGGAAATCTCAGTATAGCCCTAGATTCTTCCTTACATACCCTATCCCCATATCAGGCAAGGCTCTGTCTCCTTAACACCTGCTGTGTGTTCTCTTCTTCTCTTCCCCTTGGGCCAGGCTCTAGCCTCCCTTCCTGTGGACTACTGCCTAAGAGGGGTAGGTCTCTATCCATCTACCCATTTGCCAGTGAGACCTCTACCAGTGCAGACCTGATCATGCCCATCTCTGAGAGAACCCTTCAGGGGGTCCCGAAGCACACGGGGCTCCACGTGCTTTGGCTCCAGCCCCCTCTCTATTTGCACCTTCACTACCCACCCCCCATCCCAGTTCCAGTGAGTGACTTGGAGTTTCCTCAGTGCATTTGCTGTCTTGTGCTCCCAGGCCTTTGCGTACACTGGTTCCTCCGCCTGAAATGCCCTCTCCCCTACTTGGTCCAGCAAATTCTCACTTGTATCAGAAGTTCTCAGCACAACCAAGAGCTGTCTGAGGTGCCTTGTGTAGGTGCCACCTCCTGTGGGCACTGCAGTAGTTCACTTGTCTTGCTCCCCAGCAAGATGCTTTGTTCCTCTTGTAGTCACCTCTGTGTCCCCAGAGTCCAACCCAATGCCTGACACTGAGGAAGCCCACACAAGTGCATGAGTAACAGACTGTCTAGGAGGAGGGAGGGGAAGGGCCAAGGGCCTGGAGGAAGCCCTGCATGGTGAGGGGAGACCCAGGCGGGCTGCCTGACGGAGGCCTCTCTCTACAGGCGGTGGAGGAGCTGCTGGAGTGCTTGGATCTGGAGAAGAGCAGCTGCTGCATGGGCCTGAGCCGGGTGAGTTGTCCCACAGGAGGGCAGTCGGGCCTCACTCCAGGGGCCCCTGGGTGGCTGGCCCACTCCTCCTGTTCTTGCTACTCAGCCAGACATCACTGGTCTCCTGGTGCCCTCTGAGTCTTGCCCTAGCTCCACCCCGCCCAGCCACTCAGGGGCTGCCCCCTTCAGGGCTAGGGGCCAGGGAGCTAGAGGGTTCAGATGCAGCAACTTGACTTTCCTTCCTTCTGGATAACTGGCTTGTTCAGTGCCAGGAACACCTCTGTGATGTCAGGAGAGAGTGGGTGGAAGGTGGCCCTGAACTTGGCCCGAGTCCTGGTGTGGGGAGTAGGGGAGACTGGAGGGCTGGACCCAGAGGATGTGGGCTGGAAGAGGCAGGAGGCCTTGGGTAGAGCCCCTGTGGAGAGTTACCTGGGGCTGCTGGGTTCCAGAGAGCAAGCAGGACATGGTGAGGCTGTGCCGCCACCACCTGCCCACAGGCCGAATTCCTCATCTGAATGGAACGCTGTGCGTAAAATGCAGGCACGCCAGCCCCTGGGTGCCAGTTTGCCGCGTCACTCCTCACCAAAGGGTCAGCTGAGCATTCCTCCCACAGGCAGGAAGCCCTGCATGCCCCTCTCTTCCGAGCCTGGGAAGCTTGGACAGGGGGCACCCGCATGCGTGCCCCAGGGCTGGGGTGGAAAGGAGGCCAGTGGAGAGCCAGGGAGGGTTCTGGGCTGGTTGTCTGCTGGCAGAGAGGGAAGGAACTCTGGGTTGCAGGGTCCCGTGGGGCGTGTGCGGTGCAAGGAGGTGCTTGCAGAGGCTTGAGTCTCACTTGTCCTGTGTGCTTGGTCCTCTCGGCCCTGCATGTTGAGTCGCTTTCCTGGCTCCTCCTGCCCTCCCTCACTGTCAATCGCTCCCATCTCTGTGTCTTTGCATCTTCCCATCTTTGCTTCTGCCGTCCCTGGCTTTCCCTTTGGCCCCAGCAGTCCCTGCTGGTCTCTATTCCTTGGTTTCTGGTTCTGTTTTTCTGTTTCTCTCCTTGTTCTCTGTATCTTTGTGTCCCATTCTCTTTCTGTGTCATTTTCTGGTTTGTGTCACTGCTTTGTCTACCTCTGTGTCTGGCTCAGCTCTTTTCTCTCTGTCTGTTCCGCTCCCCCCGCTTTTTAAAGCTGGGGCTGCCATCTAGGGCCCCTGCCTAGGGCCGCCTGCTGTCAGGCATTACTTCAGCTGCAGGGTCTCTCCCTGGGTCCCGTCACCCTGGTCTTTCCCGCCAGGTTCCTGCCTCTCAAGCAGGCTGAGCTGCTGCTGGCTGCCATTGGGGATGGCACCTCCTCCAGCCCATGCCTGGGTTCCCAGGCCTGTCTCGGGCAGGGCAGGAAAGGGCCTGTATAGGCTGATCCTCTTCCCAGCTGTCATCTCAGACCTTCTGTTGTCCTGAGCCATGCCAGGTGCCCGGCTGAGGCAGGCAAGCCCCAGGGCGCACTGTCACTCAAGGACAGAGCTGGGCCAACACTGGGTGCCTGCTCACATCTAGTTTGGGAAAGAAAGTTCAAGCCGTCTAGGCTCTGGTTAACACTGACTCGTGAGCAGGGATTCCCTGTGTGTCACATTGCTTCAGGGGAGGGGGTCTTCATCTGAGCCATGGGACCCTGAGAGTTTCAATAAGGACTTTGGGGGGCTCAGAGCCTCCTGACATTGTAAAATTTGTATGAATGTGTATTTTGGGGAGGAGATGGCCTGGAGCTTTCACCCAATACCCAGAAGGACCCTTAACCCCACAAATGTTCAAGAGAGATTTGAGGCTCGCTGCTTTGGCCTCTAGACCATTCTTTCTCTTCTCATTGTGTCTCTGGGCCATTATCCACCCCCCACTCCAGCACCTCACTTCTGCCCTGGTCAGGTGGCTATGTGTCCTAACCAAGCATGTTTGCTGTCCCCTGGTGGGACTTGGATATTCCTTTTACCCCCAGTGGGATTTCAGACTTGCACATTATATGAAATTAAGCAGCTGGGGGCCAGGCGTGGTGGTTCACGCCTGCAATCCTACCACTTTGGGAGGCTGAGGTGGGCAGATTGCCTGAACCCAGGAGTTTGAGACCACCCTAGGCAACATGGTGAAACCCCATCTCTACTGAAATACAAAAAAATTTTCTGGGCGTGGTGACGGGCACCTGTAGTCCCAGCTACTTGGAAGGTTGAGGCATGAGAATCGCTCGAGTTCAGGAGGTGGAGGTTGCAGTAAGCAGAGATTGCACCACTGCACTCCAGCCTGGGTGACAGAGCAAGACTCTGTCCCCAAAAAAAGAGAGAAAGAAATTGAGCAGCCAGGCACGGCAGCTTATGTCTGTAATCTCAGCACTTTGGGAGGCTGAGGCAGGAGGATCACTTGATGCCAGGAGTTCAAGACCAGCCTGGGCAACATAGGGAGACCCCATCTCTACAAAAAAGTACAAAAATTAGCTGGGAATGGTGGTGCACACCTGTAGTGCCAGCTACTGGGGAGGCTGAAGTGGGAGAATAGCTTAAGCCTGGGAGGTAGAGGCTGCAGTGAGCCATGATCACACCACTTTACTCCAGCCTGGGTGACAGAGCAAGACCGTTCAAAATAAATTTAAAGAAAAGAAATTGAGGCTCAGGTAGAACTTAGGACCCATGGGAGACCCCATGTTCGATGGTGGGATTTAGGGAAGTGTCACAAAGGACTGAGCTGGCTTTTTCCAAGGCCAGCCTCAGGGGACCAGGTTTCTGTGGAGTCGCCAGAGGCAGAGCTTTCTCAGCAGAAAGTTTAGGCCCTCTCTTTGCATATTTGCTGAAGGGGGCCTTGGGATACTGTGCCTGTTGGCTCTCAGTGCATTTACGTAACCTGTTTCCCATCACGTTCACATCTTCTCTTTGCCCCACAAAAAGGAATTTTCTGTGTTCTGTGCCAGATGGAGGTAGGCCTATACCTAGGTGTCTCCGCCCACTCTCATGGATACAGAGTGATTTTTTTCACCCAACCCTTCCCGTTTCACACACACTCCTCTTTGTGGCGTGTGGCAAATTTTACCAAGCCCTATCTTAGGGCAGCACAGAGTGTTAAGGAAAGGCCGGGTGTAGGGGCGCCCAGCTGGTTCTGCACATGCCTGCCCTCCAGCCCCCAAACCTGTATGACAGGTCCCTCAGCTGGGCCAACCCCCGCCCACCTCACTGGCTTCTTCATGAGAAGGTGAAACTTGGGTGTGTGTTGGGGGGGGTGGCACATGAAAGAGGAGACCATCTGAAATGAAACTAGCAGGGAGGGGGAGGAGAAGGCAGGAGCTTCCCACCACCCTTCTTCCCATTCTCCCTGCTTTTCCTCTGCACGCTTCTCCCCAGCACTGCTTCTCACACAGACATCCTCCGGCATCCACTCCCCCTGATCCCAGCAGTTGGGAGTCAGACGGGGCTGGAGCCCGGGTTGGGCCTTGCAGTGGGCTGTGGGCACAGGGGGCATTGACAGGGTTGCTGGCAGTCCTGGGTGAGGAAGCCCTCACAGATGTGGCAGGATGCCCCCTCCCTGTTTGACCAGTGACTGCTCCATTTCCTTCCTTGCCCCAGATATCTTCCCTTTACTTTCCCTCTCCTTTCATCTTTCTTTGAAGTTAAATTTCACACCTTACTCCTCCCCTGCCAAAACCTCCCCAGCCCCTTCTCCCTCAGCCTTCCCAGGGCCTCTTCCTGCTCCTCCCCTCCTCTCTTGGACAATTGGATTTTGAGGCTCTTCCCAAGCGAAGGGCTGTACTCCCTGGCCTGCTTGTTTCTCCAGTTCCTCACTTTCCCTCCCTTTCCTCTGCTGGGCTGGCCCAGTCTCCTGCCTTCACCTGGCCTGCTTTTTCACAGGTGTTCTTCCGGGCGGGTACCTTGGCACGGCTGGAGGAGCAGCGGGACGAACAAACCAGCAGGAACCTAACCCTTTTCCAAGCAGCCTGCCGGGGCTACCTGGCCCGCCAGCACTTCAAGAAGAGAAAGGTGCTGCTCTAGGGACATCCCCTCCCCCCGCAACCTAGATGGCCACGGCCAAGTTCCTGGGGTGGGGGCTATGAGGGGGAGAAGAGGCAGGAACCTCCCAGGCCACCATGTCCTGGGCCAGGGTGGGGAACGGGCAGCTCCCTGGTGCCAGCAAGTGTGCTGGTGTGCCCAGCAACGGGGCCTGGTTGGAGGGCTTTGTTGAGGGGTAGGGGAATCAGGGCCCAGGCAAAGGTGGGCTCTGGATCATAGGCTGCTCCATGAAGATTAAGGAGCTGTGTCAGCGACTCCTTTTCTTATTAGCAAGTCCATAAAACAGCCAGCACTGCCGCCTCTTGTGTTTCAGCAAGATTAGGTTTTATAGCACAGCTAGGCCAGGGTGCTGGAAATAATCAGGCAGCAAATAAAGCAGATGAAATTATTCCTAATGGCAGCGGAGCGGCTAGTGCCCAGCGCGGTGCTCCCAGGGCTGGGTTCTGTGCTGCCCACCCTCTGAGGGATGGAGGGAGCCTGGGGCAAGGGGGAGCATGGGAAATATCTGACTCGGGGTCAGGAGGCCAGAGGAGCAGCCCTGGGGTCCTGTGCTGATGGTGGGGAGGATCCTGGGCCGAGCTTGGCCAAGGTGACTGAGAACTGCACTGTGCGCCACCCCCACCCCACCTGCAGATCCAGGACCTGGCCATTCGCTGTGTTCAGAAGAACATCAAGAAGAACAAAGGGGTGAAGGACTGGCCCTGGTGGAAGCTCTTTACCACAGTGAGGCCCCTCATTGAAGTACAGCTGTCAGAGGAGCAGATCCGGAACAAAGACGTATGTGACAGCCTGGGAGGGCCAAGTCTCTGGGTGAGGGGAAGCCTTGCCGGTTTAGCTTGAACTTCCAAGCGCTTCTTCATTTAGTCCAGAGAGCTCACATCCTTGAAATGTGCTCAGCAAACAGAAGATGTCCCTCTGGGGTGCTGGCTGAGCCCCTGGGCAGCCTCTTAACGATAAAATTTTGGGCATCTCTAGCTTATTGGCAAGGGTCTAGGGACAGGATTCCCAGGAGGCAGTGGCTCTGCTGTTGGGGACATGCTTCCTCCCATGGTGTCCTGGCCCAAGCTTCATCAACTTCGTTCACTACAGGGGTGCAGACCCAGGGCCCCAACCCCTCACAGTGCCTTTGGCTCACTTTGCCCTCTTTGGTCCACCCTAGGAGGAGATCCAGCAGCTGCGGAGCAAGCTCGAGAAGGTGGAGAAGGAGCGGAACGAGCTGCGGCTCAACAGTGACCGGCTGGAGAGCCGGGTGAGTGACTCCTGGCACCACACCAACTGGGCATGGCTGCAGGGAGACGCAGCCCCTGCAGGTCCCCCAGGTGTTCTGGCTGAGTGAGGCAGGCACTTCAATTGGTGGTGACTCCCTACCCCCAACCCCAGATCTCGGAGCTGACATCGGAGCTGACAGATGAGCGTAACACAGGAGAGTCTGCCTCCCAGCTGCTGGACGCGGAGACAGCAGAGAGGCTCCGGGCTGAGAAGGAGATGAAGGAATTGCAGGTGAGGGCAGGGCCTGGGTGAGAACAGCAGGCTGGTGACTGCCACACCATAGTGCCCACTGGCTCCCCCCAGAAACAGTTGGCGTCTTCACCCCTAGCCCAGCATCCCTGTCTGCCCTGGGTAAGCATGTAAGCATGGTCTGTGTGGTTCAGGGAGTGGGTATGAGGGGACAGAATGGCATACCCTGAAACCCCGTCTTCTGCAGACCCAGTATGATGCACTGAAGAAGCAGATGGAGGTTATGGAAATGGAAGTGATGGAGGCCCGTCTCATCCGGGCAGCGGAGATCAACGGGGAAGTGGATGATGATGATGCAGGTGGGCCTGAGGCCCAAGCAGCTTGGCAGTGGCCTGCGATGCGAGCCCTGATGCCCATCCCTGGGTAGTCATATCCCTTGTCCAGGCCTGTCTCCCCTCCATGAGCTAAAGTGAAAGAAACAGATGAGAAGGCAGAGGTGCCAATAAATGCAGGGGATTGTTAGGCAGAGCTGTAACAACCACGATCATGACAAAGACTGAGGGCCATGGTCCCAGCAGTCCCTGGGGGAGGCACAGCACATGTAGCCACATCTCTCGCTCTGTTCTTCTCCTGGCTAGTGGCTCCTTCTGCCTTGGAAGGAAGCCGTCATTACAGAGAGCTTTCTGAGCCCTGGCTGACTCCACCTGCTGCTCCCCCTGCCCCATCCTCCTTCCCCTCTGCCCCTTCTGGGGACTCTCAGCACCTCCATCCTCCCTTGTCTGCCTCAACCCCACAGGTGGCGAGTGGCGGCTGAAGTACGAGCGGGCTGTGCGGGAGGTGGACTTCACCAAGAAACGGCTCCAGCAGGAGTTTGAGGACAAGCTGGAGGTGGAGCAGCAGAACAAGAGGCAGCTGGAGCGGCGGGTGAGGCTGGGGAGGAGCCGAGGCCTGTGCTTGAGAGGACCAGGAGGGGAACTGGTGCCTCGTGTCAGTCCAGTGAAGGCTGGGGGCAGGCAGGCCTGGCCTGGGACAGATCAGGGAGGCTGGCATGTTAGCTTCTCGGTGCAGGGGCAATCAGGAGCAGGCTATCATTAGAGCTTCTTCAGTACCCTGGGAGACCCTACTTCCTCCCACATCCCTGGGTCTTCCCCTCACTTACCCACCTCCCCCTCCTCACCTTCTCCACCAATGCTTCCGGGCCTCTCTGTATATGCACCCCGTCTCGGCCCCTAGCTCGGGGACCTGCAGGCAGACAGTGAGGAGAGTCAGCGGGCTCTGCAGCAGCTCAAGAAGAAGTGCCAGCGGCTGACGGCTGAGCTGCAGGATACCAAGCTGCACCTGGAGGGCCAGCAGGTCCGCAACCATGAGCTGGAGAAGAAGCAGAGGAGGTAGGTGGGCCCCCTGCCCTGGGCCCAGAGAACCTTCTGGAGCAGCCACAGACAGGACTGCCTCCTGGCCCTCCAGGGAAGAAAGAAGGAAGGACCTGAATTTGTCCAGGGCCCTTGCCTGCCTGATCACTCATCTTGGAACGTGAAGAGGCCCCCTCTTGACCTCCAGGGTGGACTCGAGCTGTGTCCCTACTGAAGGCCTACCCAGGCCTCTGCTTTCAGAGGTGCTCCCCGCATCACGTGCCTGTCACCCTGTGCCAGGCCCCATCAGGAAGGGCATCAACCAGGGCCCGTGCAGGAACCGCTATGTCCCTGCCCCCGGCCCCCAGCTCTGCCTCTCCCTCACTTGCCTCAGCTACACAAACACTCTCTCCTGACTAATGTCGTTAAACTACCGTGCCACTTCCATCTCATTATGGTAATGATACAAAGGAGGGGGGTGGCCCTCACAGGAGAAAATCCAATCTAAATTAATTTCCCGGGCTGGGAATGAGGATGGGACGCCTTCATTAGCAGTACTGAGGAACCCACACACCCTGGGAACAGCAGGGCGCCCTGGGGAGCAAGAACAGCACCCATTTCTCCTCTGCGGGGGAAGGGCTTCTCAGCAGAGGCACCGGTTGCCTTCGTGAAGGGGTATCCCCACACCCACGACCCTGGGAGTGAGGATGGCAGAGCCTTTCCAGTGACTCTGGGTTACCCCTGGCCTCCTGGACCCACCATCATCTCCCCAACTGGGGAAATAGGAAGGTTTTCTATTCCTCCCACCTGACACCATGACCGCCACTTCCCTCGTTCTCATCTCTGCCCCCACCCTACCCCTTTACCCAAAGGCTGGCACCCTTAGCTCGACCCCCCTTCTGAGCACGCAATGACAATACCAGCTCGGCCTAGTTACCGTGCTGCTGTGCTCCCCGCTGGGCAACTTATTAGGTTTCAGCTGCCCGGAGTTTTCTTACTTTTTTTTGATGTGGGGTTGGGGTAAGGGGAGCGTTCAACTTCCACAGGAACCTGATTAGCTATTCAGGGAAGGTGGTAAGAGGAATTTGAGCAATTTGCTGCATATTTAGCGGGAAATGGAAGACTGGGAAGTGGAGGAGTGAAGAACGAGGCCCCCTGTGTGCCCATTGAGGCATGTGGCCAGCTGGGCACAGTGGGAATGCCAGCTCTGAACCCAGTATGGGGTGTCCTGGTGGTGTCCTGCCAGCACTGCTGGAGTGCATGGTCCTGGCCAAAGGCTGGTGCCCAGAGGCAGGGACAAGGAGCCAGTTGTTGCCCTTACAGTTGCCGAACCGAACTGTGGAAAGTGAGTTAGTAGAAGCAGGGTGCTCATCTCTACCCTTTTCCCACCCCACCCTCACCTGGGTCTCTCATTCTTTGATGTGTTGAAATGGAAAATGTAGAGACTTAACTCCTGAGGGGCCTGTTAAGCAGGCTAGGGGTCCCTCTTAGGCCTACTTGGTGAAAGGGCTTGCCTGAGCGCTCCCTATCCCAGACCCAGTTGCTCAATAGGGCCTCAGTGGCCTGACCTGCCACCTCTAAATGTCACCCCTACCTTGCCACTGGCCCCACGTTAGGGCTGCATGGGTCCCCCCACCCATGCTTGGGTCCTGTCCATGGCACCACCTCCTGACAATCTCTGTGTGGGGGACCCCGGCTCTTCCCCATCTGATAGAGCCGCCACGCTGCCTTGCAGGTTTGACAGTGAGCTCTCGCAGGCGCATGAGGAGGCCCAGCGGGAGAAGCTGCAGCGGGAGAAGCTGCAGCGGGAGAAGGACATGCTCCTTGCTGAGGCTTTCAGCCTGAAGCAGCAACTAGAGGTGGGTAGGGCCACCCACCGTCTGTGCCCTGTCCCCCTCACAACCTGGGGTCAGCCCTGCACCAGCCTCACCTCTTTTGCTCCAGGAAAAAGACATGGATATTGCAGGGTTCACCCAGAAGGTTGTGTCACTAGAGGCAGAGCTCCAGGACATTTCTTCCCAAGAGTCCAAGGATGAGGCTTCTCTGGCCAAGGTCAAGAAACAGCTCCGGGACCTGGAGGCCAAAGTCAAGGATCAGGAAGAAGAGCTGGATGAGCAGGCAGGGACCATCCAGATGCTGGAGCAGGTACAGGAGAGCTTGGCCAAGGGAGGGGTGCCACCATCCCCACAGCCAGCCTCAGGCATGGGCCAGAGGATCCTGCCTCCATTCATTCATGTGTTCACTCACTCACCTACTCACAAAATGTGGAGTGAGCACCTGATCTGTGCCAGCCACAGTATAAAGATGCAGTCGTGGAACTTTCCACAAAAACAAATCTGATGGAGCTCTAGTAGGGAAGGGCTCAAGATGCATGGCAGCTGAGGGCCACAGGCCCAACCAGCCTGCCACCAAGTCAGTTCAGGCAGCTGGAGCCTGCAGGCAGATGGAGAAGCTGCAGGACTGTCCCCACCCCAGCTACCTCTCTCTGGGCCTATGCCAGACCACTAGCAAGGGAGTTCAGCTGCTCTGGTGAAGCTGCTGCCACGAGAGCAAGGTGCCAGCAAAGGGAACTGGCTGGTGGACGTTCTCAGCCCATGAGCCTAGGGAGAGCCACACACAGGTGGGAAGGGGGTGGGCATTGCTGGGGAGGGAACCCAGACCCTACTCCAACCACCTCCAGGCCAAGCTGCGTCTGGAGATGGAGATGGAGCGAATGAGACAGACCCATTCTAAGGAGATGGAGAGTCGGGATGAGGAGGTGGAGGAGGCCCGGCAGTCGTGTCAGAAGAAGGTAAGGTATCTGAGTACTTACCTGCCTAGCGTAAACACCTTTTCCCATCGCTGCTTTAAAGTAAGGGGCTTTCTGCCTCCCTACCTCAGCCACATTGTCTTCCATTGTCATTCTGGGCCAGGAAGCGCCTGGGATCCTGGCATTGGCAGGGATGTATTGGCTCAGAGTCTGTAGAGAAGCTTGAGCCCCTGAGGAACTAACGCTCCCTGCTTTCTGTGCCAGGGGCAGCCCCCTGTGCCCCTGCTGTGCTGCGCTGTACTGGTGCTGTCTGCAGTCAGCCAGCCTGGCCGGATAGGTCTCCACTGTGCGGCGAGGTGTCCTATTCTGTCTTGGCTAGCCCCACCGCATGTGGCCTGCCATCCCTCCTCGCCCTCCCAGGCTGCTTTGAAACCCTGGAAACCTGAAATTTAGGTTCTGACCCCTCCGCCAATATCACTGTGCTCAGGCCTGCCCCACTGTTTTCCCGGAGTGGGGAACCCAGAACCAAAGGGGCCTGCTTGGCACCAGGTACTAAAGGGATGGACGGGTCTCTGTCCCCATGGTATTCCAGTTAAAACAGATGGAGGTTCAGCTGGAGGAAGAGTATGAGGACAAGCAGAAGGTGCTGCGAGAGAAGCGGGAGCTGGAGGGCAAGCTCGCCACCCTCAGCGACCAGGTCAGGGGACGCTCCACCTGCCAAGCCTGGCCAGCTACCTGCCCATGCAGCCTGAGGAGTGGGGATCCTAGGGATGGGGAGCCGGGAACAGAGCTGTCAGGGGGATAGGGGTGCTGCAAAGAGCCCATCATCATCCCTCGATGGAGGCATCACCATACATTGGCACACCCAGCCCTTTACCACTGGTTGGCATGATCCTGGCTCTTCCAGGATCCTTATGGGGACACTGATAATGAGGACGTGGTGAGGAGTGGGCTTGGGTAAGATAGGAGGAGGCCCTGTGTGGAGCCCAGAACCCCAACTGCTGGTGCCCACCCAGGTGAACCGGCGGGACTTTGAGTCAGAGAAGCGGCTGCGGAAGGACCTGAAGCGCACCAAGGCCCTGCTGGCGGATGCCCAGCTCATGCTGGACCACCTGAAGAACAGCGCTCCCAGCAAGCGAGAGATTGCCCAGCTCAAGAACCAGGTATCCCCAGAGAGCACATGGCTGATCCAGGCACAACAGAGCTTACCTTTTCCATTCTCTTTCTCTCTCTCTCACTCCTCTCAGTGGCTCGTGAGTCCTTGGGAAGGAAAGTGACAGGATAGAGGGGAGAGCCACATGTAGCAGCTAGACTCCCCAGGCCCTGCATGTGCCTTACTGTCTCACCGCCCAGCCCAGGCTGGTGCCCACCAGCCCTGTCACAGGAGGAGATGCCCACGCATGCAACACCACACAGCCATGGCCCTGGGGTCTGAAGTGAATGGAGGAGGAGAAGGAGGGCATCTGGGCTCACTCTTCCCTGTACAGCCCTCCTGCCCCCAGGGAATGACTGACATCTCTCTCTGGGGCGGGGGTGGTCTCTGTCCAGCTGGAGGAGTCAGAGTTCACCTGTGCGGCAGCCGTGAAAGCACGGAAAGCAATGGAGGTAGAGATCGAAGACCTGCACCTGCAGATTGATGACATCGCCAAAGCCAAGACAGTGGTGAGGGGCCAGGGTGCCCGGGGCAGAGCTCGGGGGGCTGAGGCAGAATAGAGCTGCCTCTGTGGCTCCCTTCACCCCAGACAGGTTCCTCCACGTCAGGACTTGTGACGGGTCCTTTCATGCCAGGACTTGCTGCAGGAAGAGCAGGCCCCCCTGCTCTGCGTCTCCCCACCCTGAGCAGAGGCCTCGGGGAGGAGCGGGCAGAAGAGGGAGCCAGCAAGGGCCCATCTCCCTGTTTAATCACCTGCCTGCGGGAGCTTGGCCGCAGGCCCCAACACCATAAATAAAGGCATCTAATGTGACTGAGGGACGTAAACAGGTGCCTAGAGATTAGCAGAAGCACCGATAAGAGGACAGGATGGCTTGGCTTCCCTCCCCTTCCCCCTGTCCAGCCCACTGACAAGCCCAAGCGGCAGCTAATTAGAGCTCTTATTTAATGCCTCCTTTTTAATTCCCCACCTCTCCCACAGCCCATCCATCGGCAGAGAATTCATTACTAGGATGTGGCCACCAATACCTCCTTGGGCAGGGAATGGGGCAGGGGAGGAGGCTGGGCTGGGCTAGTGGCTTCATGGCCCCTGAGCTAGTCACCTAGCTGCTGAGAGATGCCAATCTCACAGGCTTGATTTATCCCCATGACATTTGTGCTCCTCAGCAGTTTTCAGGTGAGTAATTCAAATTCCTTAATTGTGTTAAAAAAGGTTGTTATAAAATTACCATTTTATTTAAATCTGAGTTAATAAATTTCTTGGCGGAGGCTTCCCCAGCTCCCCACAGCCCAGTAACAAGATGGATGGGGCAGAGAAGGAGCCAACACAGTCATTGTGGTTTGGAATTACAGGCTAATAGATTCATTCATTTCCTGAAGCTGCTGTTGGATCTCTCTTCCCCTCCCCCAAGGAGGGGACTGGCTGTGGGGGCTGGATGCCCAGGGAGTGGGCAGTCCCAGGGGAAATGAGAGTCTAAGCCAGGAGACCTTTGCAGACTTGAGGGGTCCTTCCCTGGGGCCTGAAAGGGGCAGAGTACACGCAGGCAGGGCCTGGACTGATAGTGCCAGGATGATGGGTCATTTGTTCTGGGCAGACCTTTTCTGCCTTCTCATTAGCCTCAAAGGAGCTGCCAGGAAGCAGCTGTCATTCAGCTCAGAGGCCCAGGGTCTGTCTGTACTGCACACAGCCCTTTCCCTCATCTCCCTGGTCCGGAGCAGGACAGGCAGCTCCCTGAGCATCACTGGTCCTGGGACCCACCCCAGCGGGCAGACAGCCCATTATCATCTCTACAATGCCCCCACCATTGGAGGCAGCTGGAGCCCACAGACACACTGGGCCTGAGGCCCTCTGATCTGTCTTTGCCTCTGTCCAGCTGGAGGAGCAGCTGAGCCGCCTTCAGCGTGAGAAGAATGAAATCCAGAACCGGCTAGAGGAGGATCAGGAAGACATGAACGAATTGATGAAAAAGCACAAGGCTGCCGTGGCTCAGGTACCCCTGCCAGGAGTGCCCCTCACACTCCGCACCACCATCATCCTTCTGGTCCTCCTCGTGGGTCCCCCATACAACCGCTTGTTTTGGGAGGTGATGGAGTGAGAACTTCGGTCCCCTGGTGTTCCAGCTGGGCTGGGCTGGCTGAATGTTTATGGGGGATCCTGCTTCTGATGCTCTCACCCCTTTCCCAGGCTTCCCGGGACCTGGCTCAGATAAATGATCTCCAAGCTCAGCTAGAAGAGGCCAACAAAGAGAAGCAGGAGCTGCAGGAGAAGGTGAGGACCAGGGGCTCCCTTGGGAGAGAGTGCCAGGATCACTACGTGTGGGAGGAACCCCCAAGTTCACAGTTTAGAAGGCACTTTTCTCTGCCATCAGTAATCCACAGAGCAACATAAACTAGGAGCAAGGGCTAGGCTTGGAGCCATGTTACCATAGCAGACATTTGGGCTTCCCCTGCCTCATTTCCCATCTCTATTCCCTCTCCAGTCCTTAGCTTTCTCCTTTCTCGCTGAAGGGCATGATCTGTGCCAAGCGCTAGGGCAGATGGGGGAGGCCTCTGGCCCAGGGCTCCATTCTCTTTCCTCCCAGGTGCATCCCTCTCTACCCCTCCCGCCTTCTGGTCACCGTGGTGATATTGCCTGCCCCAGACGTATCCTCCTCACTTTCTGGGCTCAGTTCTTTCTTCTCTTCTTGCCCTCCACCTCTAGCTACAAGCCCTCCAGAGCCAGGTGGAGTTCCTGGAGCAGTCCATGGTGGACAAGTCCCTGGTGAGCAGGCAGGAAGCTAAGATACGGGAGCTGGAGACACGCCTGGAGTTTGAAAGGACGCAAGTGAAACGGCTGGAGGTGGGTTCCCGCTTCTCCCAGGCCGCACCAAACAGGGCAGAGCTGCGCCAGCACTGGAGCCGCGCATGCTCAGCAGGGCTGGGCAGGCCTCCGGACACTCCTCAGAGGCCTGTGCCTCGTTGCCAGGCCAGCTGACGGGCAGGTGCTTCTCTCCCGCCCCGCCTGGCCTGCTCTCTGGGTACCATGGAGCCCGCCTGCTTTACATTCTGTTTCCGTGCTTGCTTTCTGCCAAGGGACCAGAGCAGCTTAGCTCTTCGTCTTCATATTTTCCTCCACCACGAGCTCCCCCCCGCCTGTTCCCCTCAACCGGTTCTCTGGCAGGGTCATAAATATGCAGCGGATGGTGCCACTTCTGTGCAGGCTGGAGTCTGTTCTCTCATCTGCCCTCTCTCTCCTCCTCTCCCCTTCCCTGCTTCATTCCCTTTCTTCCTCACTTCTTCTGCCCTCCTGTCTCTGCTTTCTCTCTCTCTCTCTTCCTTTTCCTTGATTATGACCCTATTCTTCTCCCTTCTTTTTTCTTTTTTTTTTTTTTATTTGAGACAGAGTCTCACTCTGTTGCCAGGCTGGAGTGCAGTGGTGCGATTTTGGCTCACTGCAACCTCCATCTCCCAAGTTCAAGCGATTCCCCTGCCTCAGCCTCCTGAGTAACTGGGACCACAGGCACGTGCATTTTTAAAATTGTATTTTAGTAGAGACAGGGTTTCACCATGTTGGCCAGGATGGTCTTTAACTCCTGACCTCATGATCTGCCCACCTCGGCCTCCCAAAGTGCTGGGATTACAGGCGTGAGATATTTTTTCCCCTCCCCAATCTTACTTTTCTTTCTTACCCTCTTCCCATCCCATTCTCCTCTGCCTTTATTATAAAGTTCATTCTCTCTTCTTCTTCTTCTTTTTTTTTTTTTTTTTTTTTTTGAGATAGGGTCTTGCTCTGTTGCCCAGGCTATAGTGCAGTGACGCGATCATGGCTCACTGTAGCCTTGACCTCCTGGGCTCAAGCAATCCTCCCATCCTCCTGCCTCAGCCTCCTGTATAGCTGGGACCACAGGCATGTGCCACCATGCCTGGCTAATTTCTGTACTTTTTGCAGAGACAGGGTTTTGCCTTGTTGCCCAGACTGGTCTCGAACTTCTGGGCTCAAGTAATCCGCCTGCCTCAGCCTCCCAAAGTGTTGGCATTGCAGGCATGAGCCACCACGCTGGACCAATCTTTTTTCTTTTGGTCTCCCAAAGCCAGTATAGGCCAGCGCCTTCCATCTCTGGCAGAGCAGATAGCAAGAGAGAGGCAGAAAGGATTATCTCCTGGGTTTACACTCCTCTCGCCTTATTTTTAAGTTCTCTTTGAGTTTATAAGCCTTTGTCTCCGCACCGTCAGTTCTGTCTGGGCCCTGTGTTGATAAGTGTGGTTGCTGAGGGGCGGCCCTGTCACCTCCTCCATCAACTCGCAGTCCATGGAGCAGGCACTTAGGTAGGGATAGAAACAGGTGGGCGTCTAGAGGGCATTAATAACCTGGACACAGGAAGAGAGCACAACTGACCCTCCCAAGATGGGGTCACAGTCCTCAGGAGAGCTGGAGAGAGTTAGGGGAAACTTAAGAATTTATTTTCTGCCCACCCCAACCCCAGGCTGGCTGATAATATTTTGATCCCCATTTTACATATAGGAAGGGTTATGTAGGTTGCCTAAGGTCACAAAGCTATCAAGGGACAGAAGAGGCCATTAGTCTGGTGGACACAGGACAGGCCCACAGGACTTATCTCCTTTTCTCTTGGGCCTAGTCCCTTCCCACACCTCTATCCCTCAGGTTCCCTTCTGCTCGGAGAGTTTTGTGGTTTAGACTCATAGGATGTTAAACACGAATGGCCCAATCCTGCAGCCTGGCTCTGTTATTTTAGGGACATAGAGGCTGGAGGCCCAGTCAGAGGTAGAACCAGGATCACAAGCAGATGCGGGGTTCTTCCTTCACATTCAGCCCCTGTCTCCAGGTCATTTTTTGCTCAGCATCCCACTGCCTGGCAGGAGATTCATTAGGCTTAGAGAGATGCTCTCTGCTTGGAATCTGATGATTGTTTAGTCTCTCCTAATCCAGAACTCCAGCAAAGCCATTTACCTCTGAGCACAGGATCTAGCTTTTGGGGCTTCTGGGTTCAGAGTCCCTGTGGGAAGCCCTGCTGACCTAAGAGGCCTCTACATGCAGTGTCAATACCGACAGGCCCACCAAGCTGTACCCAGAACACTCCTTCAGTCTTGGTGTAGTAATAATGATAATAGCACCTTTCATCTTTCAAAGTGCATTCACATTCATTACCTTATTCATCCTCAGAAGACCCCTGGGGGGTAGGTGTTATTCTCCCCCCATTTTACAGAAAAGCAAGGGAAGCCTCGGGATTGCTTGCCCAGGTAGCCAATGAATGGTGGAGCCAGAGCTTGACCCCAGGCCTCCTGACCCAGAGCTCTGCCACACCCTCCCTCTGCCTGACTGATGGGCCTACCTGCTGTGTCTTTCTTCCCCAACTGCCTGTCCAGAGCCTGGCTAGCCGGCTCAAGGAAAACATGGAGAAGCTTACTGAGGAGCGGGATCAGCGCATTGCAGCCGAGAACCGGGAGAAGGAACAGAACAAGCGGCTACAGAGGCAGCTCCGGGACACCAAGGAGGAGATGGGCGAGCTTGCCAGGAAGGAGGCCGAGGCCAGCCGCAAGAAGCACGAACTGGTAATGCCCTCCTGTCCCCCACAGGGCCCACATGGCAGCCCCCTGACGAGCTGTTGAGTGTGCGCCTCACTCTGGCCTGGTTGGGGATAGGGTGCAAAGAAACTGCACATGAGTCAGAGAATGAGAGGGAGGAGGAGCATACCAAGAGGGCAGACCAGGGAGCCAATGGCACTGGAGGCTTCCTCAGGTGAGGCTTGGCCCCCACAGCCCAGCAGCAGCAGAGCGGAAAAGGCTCTGGAAGCCTGTGTCAGCCCTTGGGTAGCGCCCCTATGACCGGGAAGGACTTGAAGCAGGCTTTTTCTGGTCATCTGGGGAAGAAGCTAGCCCTCCTGCAAACTGGGCTGCCCCCTTCCTCCTAGGAGATGGATCTAGAAAGCCTGGAGGCTGCTAACCAGAGCCTGCAGGCTGACCTAAAGCTGGCATTCAAGCGCATCGGGGACCTGCAGGCCGCCATCGAGGATGAGATGGAGAGTGATGAGAATGAGGACCTCATCAACAGGTGAGAGGTGGCCTCTGGGGCATCTGCAGCCAGCACGGAGGCCCTCTTGACTGCCTCTGGAACCAGGCCACCAGGTAGAACAGTTGCATCCTCTGCCTCCCCATGAGCGAGCCACCAACCCACCCTCCCTTTACTGCCAGACCCCAGCACAGCCTGTCCTGCAGAGGCAGAGGGTGAGACAGGTGCACCCTGATTGAGGCCCCCCACCCAGTCTCCCCTCCCCAGGACCAGGCCCTCCAGCTCTGCCCGCTCAAGATGAGTTATTCCCCTGTTTAGCTGCATTTCCGATGGTGCCTGCTCCCCTCTGGGGAGGGCAGAGATTTAAAGGCTGTGGTGCCTTGTTACTATGCCAGAGATTTTCTCATAAAACCCACCCAGGGAATGGTCTGGAGAGAAAGAGATTTGTAGTCTTAGGCGGAGGAGACAGTCACGAAGAAGGAAGGCCGGCAGTGTGGGGTGGCGCCAGGCCATGGAGAAGCTCCCAAGGCTGCCCTAGGCAGACCCTAGACCTGCCTGCTTCCCACCTCAGGGCTGGGGCCCATCCTGCAGGCAGGTCTGGGGCAGCGCAGGGAGCCTGCTGCTTTGGGGCAGGGGAGAGGTGCCAGGGGCAGCCCAGATCAGGTTTTGAGGACAGTGCTATCACGCAACCCCCCCTACCTGGTCTCAGCCAGCCAGAGCTGGCTCTTGCTGAGGGAAGAGAGGTCCTTAGCTAAGGGGTCCACCTTGGGGTTGCCCATTGATTTCATCTGTTTCCCCTGGACCCCTTGCCCACCATCTTCCTTCTATTTCCAGTTTGCAGGACATGGTGACAAAGTATCAGAAAAGAAAGAATAAACTGTGAGGACTGGAGCGCATGTGCTCTCTGCCTGTCCTCGCGGGTGTCTAACCACCCCTAACACTGGCTCCCACCCCAGGGCCGCTGCACGCAGCATGTGGATACAGCCTCCCCACACTCCTGCCTCACTGTTCTCTAATGCTAACACACTGACTCTATCCTCAGGGGAGGCAGGGAGCGGGCAATGAGATGTGCTCCCCAGAAGGCTGGGGCTGGCCCGTGCACCCTTGGTGGGCAGGACTGGGGGCTCCTGCAGAAAGGAAAGTGCAGCCTATTCGAGAAGTTTACCTTCCTGAGCTCCAGCACTTTCCTCCCTTAAAAACCAAGTGTGGCCACCTCCCTGGCCTATTTCTCTGGGAGAAAAGTCTGTTTGGGCTGGATCTGTCCACATCCTTGGGCTCCTTGGAAGCCTGAGCTGCCTGAAAGAAGCAGGCCTGTTTCATCTTTAAAGGTCCACCACCTTCTCTTGGCAGACAAGGGTAGAAGGTGAGGGGTATCTCCCAGTTTCTTGTTTGGAGAAAGCATTCAGGCAGCTAATCATGGGCTGCTCGCCATGGCGGGGGAAGGGAACACAGCCAGATGTGTTTACTTTACTCCCTGCGGCACCGTGGGCAGAGGGAGGCCCCGGCGGGCGCTTGTGCTGATGCTGTCTGTCAGGTGGCGGGAAGCCCAGGAAATCCAGCCCTCTCTTTCCCCGCTATCTGGGTGGGAGCTGGACAGCAGATGCAGATGTGCAGGCCTTCAGGCAGAGCGGGGCTGATCCTCCATCAAGTTCGACAGGGTTGTTTTTCAGAGGTCGTTTTTTTAGCATGGCATTGGATTTCTTCCCCCACTCTCTCTTGCCTGGTGGGCCCCCTCCGCTGGCCAGGATGGGCTGGTGGCAGCGCACAGGACTCCGTGAGAGCTAATGATAAATGTAATAGTGTGTAACAGTGATAGAGGGCCGCTGGAGCCTGGTTGTCACACACAATTAATATCCCCCGCCATTCTGTCTCCGTTTGTTTGTTCCCCCGCGATTCGGCTCCCAGTTAACTAATAGCACATGAGCCCGGACATAAATTGCATTTGACGCAAAGTTTAATTCCGACCATTTAAAATTTCAACTGCCCCCTGAGCCTGCCTGCCCCTGGAGTTTGTTTACGGGCCTGATTATTTAAGGAAAAGACCATCTTCTAGATGCTTGCAACTAAAGGGAAGGCAAGGGCAGGCAGGCCAGCTTTGCAGCCCATCCACTGCTCTGAATGTGAGGAGGAAAATTCGTATTCTGAGCCCACAACTGTCTGTCCCCTGTGTGTTTCAACCCTGCCATCTTTGGGTGGTAAGAGCTTCAAGGGCTGATAAAATGCACATTTAAGATCATATTCTAAACCACTGCGAGGCACGCATACACACAGGTACACTGCACACGCACACACACGCACACGCCGGTGTGCGCTCACGTAGACGCATGGGGACACGCGGCTCTAACCAGGTTCCGGCTGATGGCAGAGAGGTGGTGTGGCTCCTTCCTCAGCAGCTCTGGGCCCCAGCTCCAAGTTATTGAGCCCAGCACACTAAGGCGGGTAGAAAAATAATGTTTCGATTTACTTAGAGATACAGTTGTTATGGCTATAACCTTAATGAAAGCAGTAAACAGCACAGTATTAAGGGAGATTTACACAGAAACGCTTTTAACATGTAGACATAGATTTTGCGATGCATACAGCACCTCCTTTCTAAAGGCAATCAATATAGTTATGAACGGTGGTGATAAATTATAGGCTCTGAAGCTAGAGAGGGAGGTTTTTTGCACGGGTGTATAAATCAGGTGGTATTGGCGTTCCATGGGGCCCATGCACCACAGTAAATCTGCCAGGCTCGGACAGGCACAGGGCTTGCATTAGCAGTTTCGAGGCTGTCTGCTAAACTCCTGTTTACCCGGGGCATCAGCCGGCCTCGTCTTTGTTATAATTCTGTATTTGATGGAAGCCCATAAAATATGCCTCTTTATTCCCCTCTCCGTGAGTTGGACTCTCTCACAGTCCCCAGAACAGTCTGTTGGTTTCATATGTGTGTGCGTGTGTGCACATGCCTGTGTGGCTATTTATTTAAGAACATAATTCAGGAATGGAGCCATTCCTGTTGACACAGAGGAAAGGAAATTTATATCAAGGAGAAAGCCTAGCCTATACATAGCAGGGCAACTTGGTGAGCAGACATTCTGCAGAATTTTAGAATCTATCTTAACTCAGAAGCTATCTCCAAGCCCAGCTGCTTCATGAAGGGAGGGCCATGACTCCAGCCTCAGAATTGGACTCCTCTGGGCTTTCTTGCAAGTGCTAAGGTCAACTCTGCCAGATGAAGCTCTTGTGAGCAAGGGCTGGGGGCTACCTGAGGACGGAAGAGGAGACCTTGAGTGACAGGGCTCTGGTCTGGGACTTTCTGAGCCCAACTGGGTCTCCAGAGACAATTTAGATACTGAAACTGTTGCTAGTCCCTCTGGAAATGCCGATGCCCCCCACCCCTTTTCCTTTGTTTCTTAAAAGCCAGAGAAGCCACAGGATGGATCTGCGATATGGCCTGTGCCTCCTTAACCTACAGCCCAGGTTGGTGCTGCCATCCGCTAAGGAGACCTCCAGGTTCAAGCTAACTCCAAATCCTACGAAGCCCTTCTCTTCTCCTGCTCTGTGGCTGGCAGCCCAGCTCTTGTAACAAAGGCATGGAAATTGACAGCAGCTATGGCCACAATCTGAAGAATGGCAGAAAAGAAACAGCAGAGTAGGCCTCAAGGAATCACTGAAGGACCCAGGGCTCCTCTTTTTAGCTCAGAGCCATTTAGCTGAAATTGATGAGTGGATGGTCTTTAAGTCATTCTCCTTGGATTGGTCACCTAAACAGTGGCCTGTCACAGATAACTGGCTTGGGAGCTGCCTCCATGCTCCTCAGGGTCTTCTTGGTGGTTGTCACACAGTGTGGCTGCTGAGTGGGGACAGGCTCCTTGTGAATGGTGTGCTCTGTCTAACCTCTCTCGTTCTCCCCCTGACTCACTGACGCGCATGCTGCCCACATCCCCCCTGCCCAAGACACCCCCTGCACCCCCCTCTGCTCCCCTCGTGGGCAGCAGGTGCCTATCCCTTGCCTGGCCTTGCCTACCTTTCTGCTCCTCATCCCTACAGTGAGGGAGACTCGGATGTGGACTCGGAGCTGGAGGACCGGGTCGACGGGGTCAAATCCTGGTTGTCAAAAAACAAGGGACCTTCCAAGGCAGCTTCTGATGATGGCAGCTTAAAGAGTTCCAGGTGAGCATATGGCCTTGAGCTGGGAGGAAAAGCCATCTCATGCCACAAGGAATGGACAAGTAGCGCCTGGATCTCATGAGGGCAGGCCTGCGTCTCTTGCCTGGCATTTGTGACTGCAGCCCGGGCATGCTCCTGGCATGTGCGTGGGCACGGGAAGAGGCTTAGTTTCGTCTTAGCCAGGGCTGTGTTGCCCTTGTTTTTCCCAGGTAATGTTTTCCCATTAGGCGCCAAGCTTTGGTTTGGTGTAGGTTAAATGTCACCTTTGCTTATTCATTCAACAAATGTTGATCAAGCTTCCTGATAGTTCAGACCCTTGGAATCAAGACTGGGATGGGGCACAGGGGACTCTTGATCCCACAGCCCTGGCCAGCTCTGGATCTCTGACATCTTACCATGAATAACAGCAGAAGAGGCACCAGTTCCACTGATTCTTGACCCAGCTACAGGCACATTTCTGTCTTTTTCTGCCCATTCTCTCCTTCCTCTAATCTTTTCACTGCCCCCATTTCTTTCCTCCTAATACCCATCCACTGGGGGAATGTGCTCCCCTGTTTTCTAGCCAGTCATAGTCCTCTGATCATACAGACAGCTACCCCTGGAATCCAGAGCTTCCCCTTCCCCATCTCTTTCCTACTGGCCAGTGTGGCAGCAGGGAGAAAGAACAGCCCTCACCCCCACCCCCAACCACCCCCATAAAGCCATATCCCTGCTCCCCCCACAACATAGAATCCCGACCCCCAACTCAAGCCCATCCTGATCTCCAGGACACACCCTTCCCCATCCTCTCCCAGAGACAGCAGGTAGACTGGGTTGAAAAAGTAACGTCTCTCCCTCCCTTCTCCAGCTCCCCCAAGGCCCCTTCCCCAAGCCTGGCCCCTCACCAGAAGCACCCAGCAGCCCCCCCTAATTGGTTTAATTTATTCGGCCAAACAACGTTTTGTTATTGCAGATAATGCCGGCTTCCCCGCCCCACTGCTGTGGTTCACCACGGAGTGGCACGAGGCTCCAGGTAGTTGACAATGAAATAAATTGAACTAAACGTTTAGAGGGGGAAAAGTGATGAAATAGAACAATAGTCTAATTTACATGACATTCTCCATGAAGCTATTTTCACTGACGCAAATTATTTTGCTTCATTTCCTCCGATGCTCTCACCACCACTTTGCCAGGGCTGCTGCCGTTTTCTCCTCCTTTTGCCTCCCTCCCCCTGTGTCTTTATTCTCTGGGTTTAATGCTTGTTCCTCTCTCTCTCTCAACCTCCCTCTCTCCCTGCTGCCCTCATCCACGGCTGGTTCTCGCACCCTCCCTCGGAACGGCCCTCAACAGCCTCTCTAAGGAGGCCTCAGGGGTGGAGGAGAGGCCATCCTCGGTGGTGAGCTCCCTGAGCTATCGGAAGCGGCTCACCTTGAAGGATTCCATTGGGGGCACCGGGGATGCGGATTCGCTCTTCACCTCCCTCAGCGAGCGGGCGGCCTCCCCAGAGAGGCCCCCTAGGAAGGCCCGTGTGGGCCCCAGGGAGGAGCCAGGCCCGGGCAGGAAGTCCGAGGAGCCGGAAGAGTGCGGCTCTGTCCTCTCAGGGACCGGGGGGCGCGCTGGCCGGGGGCCGGAGAAGCGGTGGGGCTCCGACTTCAGCCGGGCCTCCACCGTCTCTGCACCCGTCAGCCGGGCCTCCTCGGCCACGCGGCGGGGCTCTGGCGAGGACAGGGCTGGCTCTTCCCTGAGTTTCTCGCTGTCGGGCTCGCCTGGTTCCCGCCGCAGCACCTCCCGGCTCGACAGCCTGACCAGGACGCTCAGCCCTTCCCTGAGCCGGGCCTCTGGCCTAGGCCGGGAGAGCCCTGATTCCCGCCTGTCCCTGGGCCGGAGCTGCCTAGAGGAATGGGACGACGGAGCCAGTGTGGCCCTGAGCGAGGCCTGCTCGCAGTACAGCCACCCGTCGCTGGCACGCAGTCTGTCGGTGCCACCCCGGCCACGCAGCTCTGCCTCGGCCATGGATGAGCCTCCCAGCTCCAGCGTCCGCTCCGTCAGCCGTCACTCCTACCTGGACCCAGACCTGGAGGCTGCCATCAACGAGGTCTTGAGCTACAAGCCTGTTCCATTCCAGCGGAGCAGCCTGGAGCCCGACTCCGAGGAGGATGACAGGAAGAGCATCCAAAGTGCCCGGAGCGCCCAACTGGACCCCCCGGAGCGAGCTGCCAGCATCCGCCGCTCCGCCTCTGCCGCTGATTTGTCCCGGTCCCGCAGCGGCCGGAAGAGCCGGAGCCGGCGAAGGAGCAGAAGGAGCAGCTCCAGCTCCAGCTCCAGCTCCAGCTCCAGCTCCGAAGCTTCCTCGGAGCACAAGAGGCGGAAGAAGGGGCGCTCTCGGAAGAGCAAGAAATCTAAGTCGAGAAGAAAGAGAACGGAGACGGAGTCTGAGTCCTCCTCGTCGTCATCTAGCGGCTCGACCGTCTCCAGCCACAGCCGCTCCAGTGTGAAGAAGGGCCCAGCTGCAGAAAGTGAAGAGACTGGGCAGACGCACCAGCTGTCGAGGAAGGAGGAAAAGAAGCGCAAGAAGGAGGTGGACAGCCTGATGATGCGGTACCTGTACCGGCCCGAGAGCGACTAGCGCAGTAGGTGGCACCTGGCCTGGGTTCAGCATGGCATGTCCCACCCGGTGTGAACTAACGTGCTCCCTGTCCCACAGGCCGCCACCTTAGCGCCCACGCGCATTCCTCTCGGGCATGCCTGGCCTCGGAGAGCCTCCTGGCTGCCTTGATGCAGGGGCCAGCCAAGCTGGTCAGTCGTCCTGAGCCCTGAACCCCGTCAGCCGAACTCACTGGTGATGTCATAGCTCCCACTTACAAGACCCTGAACCAGGGACTGTCCTTAATACCTTCCACACTTTAGTCACTTATCCCTCACAGTAACTCCATAACAAAGGTCTGAGTAGCCCTGTTTCATAGAAGATGAAGCTGAGGCTTGGAGAGGTTAAGTCACTTACCATGTGGTCACACACAGCTGGGAAGGGTTGTTGCCAGGGTCTGAATGGGATCTGCCCAACTCCAACACTCTTGCCCTTACCTACTCCTCCACGCAGCCAGTGCAGAGCACATGGGCAACATGTTTACTGTGTGTGCCCAGCAGCACCCATTCAGGAGCTTTCGTTCATCGCCCCAACAGGCTGGGGGCCAGGAAAGGTCCCAAACTGACACCGCAGCTGTGGTTGGTGCACATCAGTGGCCCTAAGCTCTTATTGGGCCTTTTGCTTAGCTCTCCCTCCCCCACCCTGCCCCCTCAAAGCTACCTTCCTCTCTGGCATAGATCTCAAGCCTAGGAGTACAAGGCTCCCAGGGCTACAGCCCACACAGCGCCACACCCTACAGCAGACCCAGGAGATACCTGGCTCTCTCCCCAGCCCTCCCACCAAAGGCCCACACATGGGCGTCACCTCGGTTCTACTCATCTTGTAAGGTTCTAATGAACAGAAATTAGCAGCTGCTGAGTGACAGCCCCCTCCTGGCTCCCCTGCCTCCCCCAGCTCTTCTCCCTGTGGGGAGGGAGATCTAGCAGTTAGGCCTTTTATGCCCACACCTCCACCGTGGAAGAAGGGCAGAGCCTGACTCATTGGAATCCCATTGTTGCCAGTTTCCCTGGTGGGTGGTGACATTTTAGATCACCCTGCTTATGTGAAGCTGTTTTCAGCATGATGCCCTCCCAGGGCAAGCTTGCTGCTTCCCAGGAGGTATGACCCCCGAGTGCAGCCCCCTGGGGCACAGACATTTGTCTTCCAGATGCATGAACTAACACACCTGTCGCATGCTTGTGCTGTGAGTAGCTGGACACCTAGGCTGACTTTGAATGGATTATACCAAAAGGGACTGATGTAAGACCTTTTAAGGAATGGAGCAAGTGGAATGGCTCAGCCCTGCTCTGTCACTTCCCCCATGCAGCAGATGGTTACTGGGTGCTCCAGGAGGAACAGGAAGCATCTCTGTTGTACTAGGGAACCAGTGTTGGCTCCATAGTAAGACAAGAGTTGGCCGAGTGCGGTTGTTCACACCTGTAATCCCAGCACCTTGGGAGGCCGAGGCAGATGGATCACCTGAGGTCAGGAGTTGAGACCAGCCCGGCCAAGATGGTGAAATCCTGTCTCTACTAAAAATACAAAAATTAGCCGGG